GTCAATTATAATTAGCATATGAATGCTAGTAAATTAAATGTTAAAAACTCTAATTAACATACATATGAAATTGCCACCTGTGTGATTTAAAACTTTTAAAAATTGTAAGTATCACATATAACTAGCATATACATGATTTAAACTTGTTGAAACCTCTAATAATCGTGCGTAATTAACATATGCCATACATCAATTGATTTATATGGATAATCAATACATCCAAAATAGTTTACATCGTGTACACAATAATTACGGCACGTACTTTCTCCTCACTATTGTTCCCTCCTTGTGATCGCTGCGTGAGTAAGGGGTGTCTTCATTTGATAGGAGGATGCTAGGGTCAATCGTCACCGTGAAAGGGGGTTGCCCATCCAACTGATCGTAATCCTCGTCAGTCTTGTCCTCAACTCCGACGATTTTTCTTTTGCCTGGGAGAACCACTTGACGCTTAGGCTCATCAGGCCCTCTGCCCTTCTTTCCTTTGCTAGACATGTCCTTCACGAAAAAGACTTGCGTTACATCATTGGCAAGGACAAAAGGTTCGTCCGAGTATCCAACCTTGTTAAGGTCAACAGTTGTCATCCCACTGTCATCAATCATTACGCCTCCACCAGTCAACCTAACCCATTGGCACCGGAACAGAGGAACCTTGAGAGGACCATAGTCAAGTTCCCATATGTCCTCGATGGCACCGTAATACGTGGCAGTTGTTCCATCGTGTCCCATGGCATCGACACGAACAGCGTTGTTTTGGTTCGTGCTCTTCATGTCTTGGGCTCTCGTGTAGAATGTGTACCCATTGATCTCATATCCCTGGAATGTCGCGATCGACCCAGACGGTCCCCTCGCCAGGAAGGCAAGTTGTTGGTTGATCGACTCGTTACCCATGAGATGTTGTCGTAGCCACGCGGGGAAAGTATCAATGTGATGCCGTGTAATCCATGCATCGGACTTACCGATGTTCCTGGCGCGAACTAGAGCCAAGTGCTCCTCGATGTAAGGAGCTACCAATGAAGAGTGTTGCAGAACAGTGAAATGGGCTTTACGGAATAAATTGTTGTCTACCGTCGTTATTGCTTTCCTTCCGAGAGTTCCCTTTCCCCGTAGTCTCCCTTCATGGCGTGATTCAGGTACCCCGATTGGGCGAAGGTCTTCGATAAATTCTACGCAAAATTCGATGACCTCCTCTGTTCCATAACCCTTGGCGATGCTTCCCTCTGGACGAGCACGGTTACGAACATACTTCTTCAGAACGCCCATGTACCTCTCGAAAGGAAACATGTTGTGTAGGTACATAGGCCCGAGAATACGGATCTCTTTCACAAGGTGACAAAGCAGATGCGTCATTATATTGAAAAATGAAGGTGGAAATATCAACTCAAAACTGACGAGACATTGCACCACTTCATTCTGAAGGGCTTCTAATCTATCCGGATAGATGACCTTCTGCGAAATTGCGTTCATGAATGCACATAGCTTTGTTATTGTTGCCCGGACATTGTCTGGAAGGATACCCCTTATTACAACTGGTAGCAGTTGTGTCATCAACACGTGACAGTCATGAGACTTTAGGTTTGTGAACTTCTTCTCCTTCGTGCTTATTATTCGCTTGATATTCGTGGAGTATCCAGACGGTACCTTTATGCTCTCCAAGCATTCAAACATACTTTCCTTCTCTGCCTTGCTAAGAGTGTAGCTGGCTGGACTCAAGTAATGGCTTCCTTTCTCCTTTGGTTCCGGGTGAAGGTCGCCGCGTTGTTCCATATGCTTCAGATCATTACGTGCTTCCAGTGTATCTTTCGACTTTCCGTATACACCTAGGAAGCCAAGAAGGTTTACGCAAAGGTTCTTAGTGAGGTGCATCACATCGATTGCGTGGCGTACGTCTAAGAATTCCCAATATGGTAACTCCCAAAATATAGAGTTCTTTTTCCACATCGCCGCGTGACCATCTTCGCTCTTTATAAGCTGGCTTCCAGGCCCCTTTCCGAACACTACTTTAAGATCTTTAACCATAGCAAACACTGTTTTCCCGCTGCGATGTTTAGGCTTCGTACGGTGGTCGGCCTTATGTTCGAAGTGCTTGCCTTTCTTCCGTACCGGGTGGTTTGCTGCAAGGAATCGACGATGATCCATGTATACAACCTTCCTACAGTGCTTAAGATACATACTTTCTGTTTCATCCATACAGTGAGTGCAAGCCTTGTACCCCTTGTTGGACTGTCCGGATAGGTTGCTAAGTGCAGGCCAATCGTTGATGGTTACGAACAGCAGCGCTCGTAGGTTAAACTCCTCCTGTTTGTCCTCGTCCCACACGGGGACACCTTCCATCTTCCACAACTGTTTAAGATCTTCGACCAGTGGTCTTAGGTACACGTCGATGTCGTTACCAGGTTGCTTGGGGCCTTGAATAATAATCGGCATCATTATGTACTTCCTCTTCATGCATAGCCAGGGGGGGAGGTTGTAGATACACATCGTAACGGGCCAAGTGCTATGGCCGCTGCTCATCTCTCCAAAAGGATTCATGCCATCCGTACTCAAACCAAACCGTATGTTTCATGCGTCCTTTCCAAATTCTTTAAATTTTCTGTCGATGTTTCGCCACTGCGAACCATCGGCGGGGTGTCTCAGCATCCCGTCCTGTTGACGCTCTTCAGCGTGCCATCGCAACATTCTAGCATTCCCCTTGTTCCTGAACAAACGCCTTAGCCGTGGTATTATAGGGAAATACCACATCACCTTAGCAGGAATTCTCTTCTTTGTTAGCTGCCCGTCAACTTCTCCTGGATCGTCCCGTCTAATCTTGTATCGTAGTGCTTTGCAAACAGGGCATGCTTCTAGGTTCTCATACTCCTCACCGCGATATAGGATACAATCGTTCGGACATGCGTGAATCTTATGAACTTCCAGTCCTAACGGGCAGACTATCTTCTTAGCCTCGTACGTTGTCTCGGGCAATTTGTTTCCCCCCGGAAGAATGTTCTTGACGAGTTTCAATAAATCGCCAAATACCTTGTCACTAACCCTATTTTTTGCCTTCCATTGCAACAACTCCAGAGTGGTATCCAACTTTTTGTGCCCCTGCTCGCAACCTGGGTACAACGAAGTTCTGTGGTCCTCCAACATCTTGTCCAATTTATGGGCCTCCTTTTCACTTTCGCAGTCCTCCCTGGCGTCCTGCAACATCTGACCAAGATCATCCGCAACGTCGTTACCACCAGCAGCTATTTCCTCCTCGCCCGTTTGATTTCCTTCAAATCCAACATACTGAGCAAAGTCCGGAATATTGTCGTCTTCCACTTCATCTTCTTCCATTTCAACACCATGCTCTCCGTGGGATGTCCAACAATTATAGCTTGGCATGAACCCTGACTCAAACAAGTGGAAATGAATAGTCCTGGATGCAGAATACTCCTTCTGATTCTTACACTTATTGCATGGACAACAAATAAAACCCCTTTGCCTGTTAGCTTCGGCCACTCTCAAAAAATAGTGCACGCCGTCAATAAACTCTTTGGACCGCTGGTCAGCATACATCCATTGCCGATCCATCTACATGAGTCAAAAAAAACCGTACACAAATAATTATTCTTACAATAATGACAGTCATACAATAATTATAAGATATCTTTATTCATACAAAAATCATAAAATATTACACCAAATAATTCTTAAAAACTATTTGTAAAGTTTTAAACTAATTTTAATGTGTTTTACTTCTTTTAATTTTCATTTTAGTTTGTTTTCTATTATTTAAGATTAACTTTCACTAGAGTTTTCCTTCTCAACTATTTTATAAAACCTTGTTTAGCAAATGAACTAAATTTCTATATATTCTTTCTTCCCCACACACATTTTCTCTCTCATCAACTTACAACTAAATTTTGGAGACAAAAAAAGTGTGAAAAACATAGGTGCAAATGTAGTATGACAAAAAAAAACATTGGAGGATGAAGTTGCAAACCTTTTAGGCACCTCCGATTTGTATGTAATCACCAAAATAAATTCAATAGAAATTTTGGCATGACCTCCCCTCTTTTTTGAAGAAATTTTGAAGCTTGCTCGGGCAGCTGGAGGAGGAAGAAGACATATATATAGGGGTGGGACTTTAGTCCCGGTTGGTAGCACCAACCGGGGCTAAAGATCACCGGGATCTTTAGCCATTACCAACCGGGACTAAAGTTACCAACCGGGACTAAAGATCCCGGGGGGGCTTGACAGGCCCTGACAGCATTCGAACCGGGACTAAAGATGATCTTTAGTCCCGGTTGGTAACACAAACCGGGACTAAAGATCAAATATGCCCGTTACCCTTTTGAACCGGGACTAAAGATCATCTTTAGCCCCGGTTTTTATTGCATCCGGGACTATTGTGGAAATCGGCCGACCGACGAAAGATGGTTTCTCCACCAGTGAGTGGCACAAAATGAAACCACAAGTCTAGGAACAAGCGGTTGAACCGTTGAGCACTCACCAAATCGAGAATATGGCATCTCCACCAAATCGAGAATATAGCATCTCCAAGGCTTCGAGATAGTACTAGATAATAAATCTGCTTTCCAGATTGTGTTGTTAACAGATCTGCTTAGGCTATGCGCATTCGGAAGCCTGGCTTCCCAAACCCCAGGACGTGCGCACGGAAAACATAGCGGCCCATTTGTGCATGATTAATTAAGTATTTACTATTTTTTTAAAAAAATGCATCAATATGATTTTTTTAAGCAACTTTCGTAAAAACTTTTTGCAAAAAACGCACCGTTTAGCAGTTTGAAAATCGTGCATGCGGAAAATGAGGAGGAGACGATGGGAACTGGTAGTGCCGAACACAACCTTAGTAGCTTCCTAAGTATCCGTCTATGTTGCTATGAACAGCATACAATCATGTGTCATGTGTTCTAGCGAAAAAGAATACTATCATGTGCAGATTGCATATTTCCAAGTCTTCGGCTTCATTAACTTTGGCCCTGGTCACAGACGATGATGTTGGAAGTCATATGTATAAGTTAATGTACCATGAAAAAAATATATATGTATATATAGGCATTACACAAAAAGTATTGTAGTATATATCTTGAGTAGAGAACTATTACAAACTACTTTAATGAAAATCAGTGTTGAGGAAATCCTTGGCTAACAGAATGTTAAGATGAAGTATATAGGCAATCGCTAATGAACTTGCAAGAGCAGGGTTGGCGATCCAGTATATTCGACTTTTCAGTCCCTTAACATTAATTTGCTATATCCATTTTGAGATTTTTATGGAGGACTTGACGATAATTTTAATGGAAAGAACATCATGCATGATAAGAATGAGAATGGGTTTAATTTCAATCTTGTTGGCATCTGGCAAAACTCAACCTCAAACCAAGAACAATCCTGTCAAATATAAGCACTAATCAATTGTTAGAACTAATTTATCCCCTAGTCATTGATAGAGGAATTTGGCTTAAATCCGTGCTATATGTAAAGAGGAGTATTGAAGTGAACACTACTAAATAAAAAACGAGTTTTTAGGTAAAGGAATATTCCCTTCTTGGGATTTTTTTCAGCAGTACTCGTCATTCTATTCTATAATTCTGACTGCTCCTTTTACTATTGACTAGTTTCTCTGCATTTATCTGTTTTTCACGAGCTTGAAACTTTTATAAGCACTTACATATCTTTGGATTGATTACCTGTAGATGCCTAAAATAGTTCAGCCTAGGATATCTGAACAAGTTGGAACAATAGAGTGGTATAATGGGATAAAAATGACAAAATACACGGGGGATTGATCGAATTCGCTTCGTTATGGGAATAAAGAAATTATTGCGTACCTTCATGATGGGCGTCTAGATATTTCCGCTTGAGGCTGGGCAGCTGTTGCCGCAGGCATGTAGGGAGCACTTTTAGAGCAGGGCATTCATTAATGATAAGCTGTTGGAGGGATGAGTATGCTTGCGGTGAATCTTGTAGCGATGCCAGGCTTTTGCAGTGGTGGAGATTGAGTTGTACCAACGAAGGGAGCTCGCCCGAGTGAGACTCCAGTGATTCAGGAGGAGAGAAGCGGTCCCCAGCTGGTGATGATGGTTCCAACGCAACAGCAGACACAATGTTGTCGCTGCAAGGCCCTGCTGGCCCGTGTCTCTGCTGGCCGAATATCGACTCAAGCTTAGGGTTGTCGTCTATGTCCATTTCCTTGAGAGATGGTGGGGCGTTGAAGATCTCTACCAAACTTTCACATTCATGTATTGATAGTGACTCCAGACGTGGCAGGAGTATCTCCCTTCCTGATGTTGACTGCTCAAGAGCTTGTGGCGAGAATCCCTTCAGTTTGCTGCATCGCTGTATCACTAATGTCCTCAAGGCTACCAAGCTCTGAAATTCTCTCTCTGGCCAGTGGATGAGACCATCACAACTAATAATTACCAAATCTTTAAGCTGTGCAAAGCATGCCCATAGTGCTTGTGCACCTGAACGGAAGAACACGTTGAAGCCAACTAGCTTCATAACTGGCAAAGGGTACTCACGATTCTGATTGTCCTTGCCATCCACCCACTCAATCAAAAAGCGTTCAGTTAGAGGTGTTGTTTCTTCACCTTCATGCTGCAATCTCAGAGTGGACAATGAAGCCATGTATCTAGGTATGCAAAGGAGCATCTGTTCAGAGCCATTTCCTATGTCTAACACACTGAGCTTTGGTGCTTCTGGTAGACTTGTCAACTCTGGACATTTCACAATACTAATGTTCTCAAGGTTAGGGAAGGTCGGTGGTTTGTCTTGTGTTCCTTCCGCTGCCTGCCATCTCTCGAATTGATTTAAATCACAGAGTTCGAGTTCCTTTAAAGCTGGTAATGCAGGCTCTGACATATTACTGTCACTAGTAGGCAGTGATGTTAGCTCTCCACATCCCTTAATAACCAGCTTCTCAAGCTGAGGAAAATCAAGCTTTTCTTGTCTCTCATTTATTTCCCACCATCGGTTGAAACTCTTCAAGTTTGTTAGTTTAAGCTCTTTTAGTTTTGGGAATGTTGACGGTATCTCACTGTTTTGACCAATGCTGCACAAATACTGCAGTCCATGGAATCCATCCAGCCGAAGAACTTGAAGATCTTGTAGCTGCCAAAACTGAAGGAATATTTTGGCACATTGTACAATTATCTAGATCAATCTCTACAAGGCGTTTAAGCATACCCATCCATGATGGGAAAGATGAGCTCTTGCAGGATTTGACATTCAGAACGCGAAGCTCATCATGAGGTTTGAGAGCTTCGATCACCTTCTCATGACAATCTGATGCATTGGTGTAAGATCGATCTTCTTTGTCATTTTCATTCCATACTAAAGAAAGTGTTGAGAGCTTCTTGTTTTCAAGTTTCATCAGTCTTGCATCTTCCTCGTTAACATTTTCCATCTGACGTAGCTCTAGTTGACCGCTGATATCTAAATGTTGTAGCTCTCCGACATTACTGCAACCAGAGCCAGTACCAGCTACAAAACAAGTGAGTGTTTGTAAGGAAGTGAGTTTTCCCAAATCTGGAGGCATGTGCTTCAAACTTGTACATCCATGAGTGTGGAGGTGACAGAGGGCTGTCATGTACTTCATTTGTTTTGGAAGTCGATAGAGATCACTGCAGTCAGAAAGGTTCAAAGTTCGTAGACAGTATAGGATACTTATATCGTCAGGAAGTACTCTGATATCACTTTCTGAGAGATCTAGGTACCTCAAGTGATGTAGATGCTTTGGCTGAAGTAAGAACAAACTCCTACACTGATCGAGTTTCAATGCTCGTACAGCTCTGTATTTTGCTGAGTGTTGCAATGAACTTGATGTGAAAATAGGTTCAGCACAGAGCAGTGTTTGGATAGCTGGAGATTCTTTTTTCAGATAATCATTCATCACATTATCTGGATCATCACATGATAAAAGTAGATGGCGAGTAGCATTTGAATATGACCCTCTTTCAGTAGGATATTTAGTTATAGCGATACATTCCTTTCCCATAATTGAAGTGGCAACATCATGCATAAGATCGTGCATCTTACATATGATTCTGGAACAATGCCCATGGTTGCTTCTATATTTGTCAAATCGGACTCGCTTCAACTCCTGAAAGAAAGATCTAGAAGCTAATTCATTGAAAATACCTTCTCCAGTGGTTTCAAGGCGGATATCTTTTATTTCTGGGATTAATCCATTTGCGATCCTTATCAATCTCGTAATCCTTAGGAAAAATAGCACAGAAAGCAAAGCACTGCTTCATATGTGACGGCAAATTGTCATAGCTGAGCTTCAGTATTGGTAAAATTCCAGTCTCCTTAGTGCAGATACTGCTGCTTCTTAATACTGCCTCCCATTCTTCCAGGCTGGTCTTGGTATAAAGTACAGAACCTAGTGCTTTTGCTGCCAATGGCAACCCAGCACATCTCTCCACAAACTGATCAATCATTTCCTTCTTTTTAGATAATAATGACTTATCATCCATTTGAACTAGCTCAGCGGGCTTGATCTCCTTTTTCGGTCTAAAAGCTGCTGTGTCAATGATTTCCTTAATGACACTGTTATTTAGAGCAGTAAGATTATATGCATCAGTTGTGTGCATTAGTTCAGCAACTCCTCCTTCACGAGTTGTTGCTAACACTGCACTACCAGTGCTACCATGTTCGAGGCATTTCTTCAGTTTACGCCATTTTTCATCATCCCTATTCCAAACATCGTCCAATACAAGGAGATACCTCTGCCCGCTCACTAATTTCTGAAGCTCGTCAAGTGCCGAGGTTTGATTTTCATTGATGGTTACTTTATCACCTTTTTTAGGAACTGCATCAACTATACTTCTAGCAACAGACGCAACATCAAAGTTGTCAGACACACATACCCAGATCATCAACTGGAAATGGTTCTGAATTTCAGGCTCATTGTAAATGAGTTTGGCTAAGGTAGTTTTGCCTAGCCCTCCCATTCCAACAATAGGAAGGACGGCGAGTTTTACATTGCTTGCTTGGGAGAGCAATATGCTAACGAGCAGCTTCTTATCTTCATCTCTCGATCTGCTAGCAATGTTCATTGGGTCAAAGATGTCAGAATCGGTTAGCCTCCATTCCTTGGACTCTATAGACTGAGGTTCGAATTTAAACCCAAAGGCATTCATCTCTGCGACTAGCACTTCAATATTCTGCACGATCCGGCAGAGCTTCCTGCCCATCTTGTATCGGAACACGACACGGTTGTGAGTAGGAAAGAGTTTTACCGCATCGATGCCGAGCTTGGTGTAGTGCCCGTTCTTCTTGGCTTCACGCCGTAGCGCCTCGTACTTGAACTCGTCGAAGACTTCATTCGCCTCATAGGCCACTGCCTTGAGCTCCTCAAGCCAGGCCTTAGCTCCTTCCCTGTGTTCAGATGCCTGCTTCTCAGCGTCAGAGATGACGTCCAAGATGGCCGGCAGCTTGCGCTTGAGGATCTTGTGCTGCACTTCCATGCCTTCCATCACCTTGTACTGCTCCAGGAGGTAGCTGGAAGCCTTCTCCTTCACCATGTGGACCAGTGGCCCGATCACCATGCTGGTCACCAGTTCACCCATTGTAGAGCTTACACACAAATATCAATGAAATGGAGAGGGAACTGGTGGTTCAATGGGGTCTGTCCACAATTTATCTTGGACAGCGTCCCAATCAATCAGTACAAGATGGACCTCCACTGGTAGAAGAAAAGGTGCGCGTAATGTGCTGTCATTGTCCATCGCTGTGTGCAGCAAGTTGCAATTTGTCATGATCCTGAATATAATTATTAGCCACTTACTTTGAAAGGGAATGAACACCCGTTGTAAATTACGCTACATTCCCAACCTGACAAGCAATTGATGTCCAGAAGCTGCTAAACAAAGTAGGGACTGGTGCTTAGCCTTTATGAAAAATCTAGGTCATTAAATTATGAAAAAGACAGTAGGCCATCTCTACCCTTTTTCTCTGTTTTTCATCGATGGTAAGATTGTAGGAAGTTACAACGGTGCGATGCTGCTAACTGATTGCATGAGTTCCGCTCTCACAATTCAGTGTACCTATACTCCTTGAAAAAGAAGTTGAATTTTGTGGCTACGTAACACACTGATGAGATGGTTAGTAATAGCCTAAATGCAGATCTCAGCAGTAAAAAAAAAAAGAATTCAAACGTATACGCGCAGCAAAATAAGGGTGAAATCATCAAAAGCAATCAATTATGGCCATCCTGAAGATTTTAGTTTGGCAGTGCTTCAGAAGTCCTAACAGGAAGGAGGCCATGTGGATAGATGATATGTGTAAACAAAAATAATTCCAACATACATAAAAATGAAAGGGAGAAACTGCAGCACAATATACATACTAGTTTTTGGTCGTTTTTCCTGACCATTAAATAATTCCAACATTCGAAATTAGTCAATTATAGTTTCCTCGTGATATAGTAAAAACTTTTAGAGTACAGGCCAATTCCAATAATTACAAACCTAAAATTAATAACTATAATACTAAGTTAGGACTGGACTGGTCTTGACTTGCTTGTCTATATCTTTGTGCTGTCACAGTTGGGACCCTTCCAGATAAGCACAACTGTGCAATGATTCTTTCCTCATCAACTGCAATTATTGATCCACTATGGCCATGCTAGTTATGGACCTATTCTTGCTCGTTGGCCATGCTTTTTTTTCAATTTTTTTTCCTGGGACGGCTTTGCAAAAATCTGTGTATATGTTAATTCAGAATTAATTTGTTATTGAAGACAAATCTTGTTAACATTCCTCCAGATCAACGTTTCAGACAAATAAGTATGACCCCAACGTTAAAACACGTCTCTTTAACCATATAACTCAATGTCTATGTTAAGTCATGTTTGATAGCTCCACATCCTTTATCTATGCCGGATTTAAAGTTTGTATGTTAAATTACACTGATTTAAAATTCGATATCTATTAACTTATTAAAGAAATAGAAAAAGGAGCCTCTACGTTCACTCTCATGGCCTAGAAATTCTCATATTAATCGGAGAAAAAGAAAAACAGAGTCCATATAGGTTCCTCCGTTAGCGAGCCAGGCTGTTATTCCTCAAACATAGCGGCACAACGGAGCAATTTTCCGCCTTAAAATCAATGCACATCGAAGAAAGAATGCAATTCCTACCCTCTGTCATGACGGTGTCTATGCTACCACCGAGGAAGATAAGTTGCAGGCTTCCTACAACTATTTCCTCAATATTTTGGGGACGTATAGTCCGCCTTCGGCGTCCATTAACCTCGACTCGATTGGTTTGGCGGCCCACGATCTCTCTGAATTGGAGGGCGACGTCACTGAGGAAGAGGTGAAAAAGGCGATCATGGCGTCACCAAGTGACAAGGTGCCACGGCTAGATGGTTTCAGCGCCACTTTCTTCAAGGTCTGTTGGGGAATTATCAAGGGTGACCTGGTTGCGGCTCTTAACTTAGCCTGGAGAGCGAATTCCCAGCACCTGCATCTCATCAACACGGCCTCCATCATCTTGTTGCCCAAGAAAGAGGACCCGAATCAACTAACTGACTTCCGCCCAATTAGTTTGATTCACAGTTTCGCTAAGATTCTAACCAAAATTCTGGAGCTCCGTCTCGCCCCAAGAATGGATGAGCTGATAGGGCCTGCACAGTCAGCCTTCATTAGGCGAAGAAGAATACAAGAGAACTTCCTCTACATTCAAGGTGTGGTTAAGAAGTTACATCGGTCCAAAACGCCTGCCATGTTGTTGAAGATTGACATCGCAAAAGCTTTTGATACGGTCTCATGGGAATTCCTTTTGGACCTGCTCTGACATTTGGGCTTCGGCGCTCGATGGCGCGACTGTGTTTCTACTCTGCTTTTCACTTCTTCAACCACCGTCACCATGAACGGTAGAGATACTCAGAGGATCAGGCTAGCTCGGGGACTCAGGCAAGGGGATCCTCTCTCGCCGTTGCTTTTTGTCCTTGTGATGGAGGCGTTTGTGGCTCTTTGCGCAACGGTGGCACGCCGTAGCGCGTTTTCCCCCCTTGCTACGGATTCCTTGCCGCTCCGCGCCTCAATGTACGCAGATGATACCATCATCTTCTTCCATCCTTCCCGATGGGATGCGCTGACAATCCACTTCGTGCTCAAGCTGATGGGCGACGCCACCGTCTTGGTTTCCAATCTGGCCAAGAGCTCGTTGATCCTGATCCATTGCACCGATACCCAAATTGAAGAGGTGACGGAGGTGTTGACATGCCCAATCAAGCAATTGCCGATTGTTTACCTGGGCTGCCACTTTCTGTGCGTAAACCGACGAAAGCGCAAATCCAATCGATGATGGATAGGCTTGCCAAAAATCTGGCTGGCTAGAAGCCCAAGCTTTTATCTCCAAATGCCCGCTTAGCCCTGATCAAGCCAGTGTTAATGGCGCTCCCACTCTACATGTCCGTTGGAACTACTAGCCTGGGCAATCAACGAAATCGAAAAGAAAGGCCGGGGTTTTGTTTGGAAGGGCGACGAAGATGCTGCGGTCTCGTGCAGCTTGGTGGCTTGGGAGAAGCTTTGCCTCCCTATCGAGCAATGGGGATTAGGGATCATAAACCTACGCCTAATGGGAATGGCGCTTCGCGCTCGGTGGATTTGATTGCACCGCACTGAGCTAGAGCGTTCCTGGACGCGCGTTGCACCTCTTGCTGACAAAAAGTCACTACACTGCTTTGCCACTGGTAGCAAAGTACTGCTGGGGAACGGAGCCTCTACCTTGTTTTGGTGCGATAGCTGGTTGCCGGACGGAGGATCAGTGCAGTACAGATTTCCAATTCTTTTCTCTTTTGTCAAGCTGAGGGGAATCATGGTGGTTGCCGTCCTCCACGACAATTCCTGGATTGAAGATGTTAGGGGCGACCTGTCTGTCCAAGCGATAGGGGAATACTGTTAACAACCAAATTTGGTAATTCAAGTATCGGAGATAAAGATAAATCCGAAGCGGAATCCAAGATGGAGATCATTCTAGAAACAGAGCGAGAATCGGCTAAAGTCCGAATCGGCAGCGATCAGGATCGGCTAAACTTGTTATGGCGGCTTGCGTTCTCGGGATTAATGCTTCCATCTTTATGATACTCTAATATTGTTTATGTAATTCTTTGAGTTATCATATACCCTATATAATCTCTAACAATATCGTTATTTAACCTTCAATCGGCTAACATCCGTCATTGGAAGGCAGCCGATCAGGTTAAATACCAATGTTGACGTAGATTATATAGGGTATCCACCACTCCATGAAACAGCCAGTGGCTTGATTGTCTAGATATTGTCCTTCTTTTCATACTTATAGCTGCATCAGTTGAGTTTGATCTTATAAGTCATGATTAGAATCTCAGTCTTTAGCCTGCCTTTTGGTTGTCGATTAGAGTAGTATCGGGGTTTCAGCCGATCTTACCTGATTTAACTCCTTCATATATTATGTGCTTGACCGATATGTTAAATTTGCCCATTATGTTAAGATCTTGTCGTATTTACATATATTAAGCTTTTTGTTTGATATATTTTGCTTGCTTTAATATCTTAATATAAAGTAGTATCGGAGTATTAGCCGATACATGCTGGATCTATCTTATCGGCTATGCTGTGAATGCTTATAATCTCCTTGTTAATATATATTTCGATTTAAGAGATTTATACTGTCTCGGCATGGCGACCGATCTATCCCAATCACTTGATTTAAGTATATATCGACGGAAGCATTATATGCTATTAATATCTTCAGCCAATCAAATAGATTTAGTTCTTACTTATTTATAATTGCCGATCGAATCAAATATGACATCGGCTCAAAGATAAATGATACGTCATCGGCGGCTGGCCAATCGGCTATCATTTATGGATTTAACCATGGTTTCTTTGTCTTTATTTCTTGTTGATTGCAAGATCAAATCAACCGGCACGCTCACGAACCTAAAGGCAAGATTTTTGGACCTGCACTGAAATTAAGCAGATCTTCCAGATCACGTGTTTTCGCATAAACAAATACCTTGCGCTCTGGGACATGGTCGCCGGGATTTCTCTCAACCCCGGAAGTACGGACTCTATGATCTGGAAGTGGCGACTTCTAGGTGCGGTCTACCTACTCTATCCTTTTGGCCGGCAGAACATCCTGCCCGCTTGGCAAGATTATTTGGAAATCCCGTGCGTCAGCGAGATGCAAGTTCTTCATGTTCCTTGCCGTCCGCAATGCCTGTTTAACAGTCGATAAGCTGCAGCGCCGAGGTTGGAAGCTTGCACCAATTTGTCACTTTTTTGCTCCGAGGATGGAGAGTCCTGCCAACACATCTTCCAGGCTTGCCCCTTATCGCAGCAGGTTTGGATGCAGGTCCAGGCTCGATTGAGCTTCTTGTGCTCGCTGCTGTCCTCAGATTTTGCCAGTTGGTGGCTCGCTACCCGACAGTCTGTTGCGAAGATCGACCGCCAGACTTCGACGCTGAGGTCATCCTCGTTACGTGGTTGATTTGGAAAGAGTGCAACGCACGGGTTTTCGAGGGAACATCCTCGTCGGTCACACAACTGTGTGTGATCATGTGTGATGAATGGGAAACATGGAAATAGCAGGGCTAGTTAGCTCGTTAAGTGTTGCCGCAGCGCCAACTTTAGGGACATTATAGCCTTTGTAACTTGCTTAATGTTGTAAAGGCGATGCTTTGACGCACTGCATTTGTGCCCCCTCCTGCAGGGGGGATATACATCGGTCGGCATTCTTCGTTGTCCCGGCGAAAAAAGGAATATTGGAAAAGGAGACTAGAGTCCATGCCGGTATACAATTTAGAATCAATAAAAATTCAGAATTTTAAAAAAAGAAAAATAAAATTATGTTAGAATCCATATAGAAATACAATTAAGAAATAATAGAAATTCAGAATTGAAAAAGGAAATATTAGAAGAAGAGTATAGAGTCCATACAGGAATTTAAGAAGAAGAGTACAGAGTCTATATAGAAATACAACTAAGAAATAATAGAAATTCAAAATTAAAAAAGGAATATTAAAAGAAGAGTATATATTAAAAAAGGAATATTAGGAATTTAGAATTAACTAAAATTTGAAATAAAAATAATAAAATTAAAAGTACAGTTTAAAGTCCATATAGAAATACAATTTACAAATAACTAAAATTCGAAATTAAAAAAATAGGAAGAAAAACCTAGAGTCCATATAGGAATACAATTTAGAAATAACTAAAATTTGATATTAAAAATAATCAATAACTATCACATATATACAATACTGTATGAATATTACACGTCGGTAGTTTGGTAAAGTTAGTACAAAATTTAAAATTATGTTGTCATTTTAATATATTTAATAATAAATTGAGAAAATATGTATGCTATTATAAGAGAGAAAATATAATGATGCGCGCAATCCGTGCGGGCCACCATGCTAGTTTTATTTAAAATAGGAACAAAATGATTCATCCAAATATTGTCAACATAATCGCAGATACAGATTAATGAATTTGTGGACTTAGAAATACCTAGCTCCTAAAAACCTTCGATAGTTGTGCCAAACAAGACTTTAGTAAGCTTTAAGAATGGGACACTCCCATTAAGCAAAACTGTGCAAAATTCATACAGCACGAGTGCAATTATCAATCGTACCATTATTGCGCTGCTGTCCTGTGAACTTCTCTTATGGGCAGCAATTCCATAGCCACATGCTTATCTTGCACAAACAAATTTTCAAAAATTCATTAATCAATTCTACTGCTTTATGCATAAAAATTGTTTAAGCATCTCAATGTATCAAATGTTAACCAAAACTAAACTGAAGCGGTTAAATAAGCTTTTTTTTTTATTGCTGAAGAGTACATTAATTTAAGTGTTGCATTCATGGTAAGAACAAGAACAACTATACAGAGTTTTTGTATGTACGAAGTTGAGTACTCACATATGTCAACGTCATTTACCTAGACAAATTTGAAGAATTCAGCAGAAGAAAGATTATGTTCTTGGTTTTCCATAGTCCACATCATGGTCCACATTTGGAGGGAAAATGAAAATTGAGACAGTACCGAGTAGATATCTCCATATATTTGTACCTCTGAAGAGAACAATCCCTGATACAAATTACTGATGCAAAAATAAGTTGTTTTCGGCCCCCATAGACATTATGAAATTCCTCTTGACTTGAATACAGAAAGGATTCAATCATGCACTACCTTTTGTACAGGGAGTATTTGAATGTTTATTTGGTAACGATGCCATGTTCTCGCAGCCGACAATGGAGACAGTTTCCAATGATGAGAAGGATCCTTCGTATGACTCCACTAGTTTCAGCTTTTCACAAAATCGAATATCTAGTTGCCCAAGTTTATCAAGCTTCCCTGACAGGACTTCAAGCTTAGGACACTCTGAAATAATTATAGTTCTCATGGATGAAGGAAGAGCAAGAACCTCTACCAAGCTTACACAATATGCTATTCTTAGGTATTCTAAGCATGGCAGGAGATATTTGCTTCTCCATGTTCCTTGATCTTCTATAGTTATAGATGCACTGAGATCACTGCTAGATTCTGATATAGCCATGCCGTTATTACGCTCAACATATTTACTTTCGACTTTTATATCCTGCTTTCCCCTTATAGATCTAAGCTCAGGGCAACTCCAAATGTGTATTTCCTTCAGATATAGGGGAAAATTGAGAAGCACTACTAAGCTTTGACAACTTATCACTGTTAGAGACTCCATACAAGGTAAATGTGTATTTGTTGCCAAAGGTGCATCTGCAGAGGATACTAGGATGCTATAAGATTCTGACCTCAAATCATCTTTGTTTTCAGCATACCAACTCTTATTTTCAGTGTCCTTTTGACCCCATATGAACTCGAGCTTACCACATCTCTCAATATATATTTCCCTTAGAGATGAAGGAAGGATGAGAACCTCAACCAATTTGGGACAATCTTTTATTTCTATATACTCCAAGCATGGGAGTAGCTGATTTTTTTCTAATGGCGCTTCTAGAACATCACCAGATTTAGTCAGATTATTGCAAGAATAAACTGTTAATCTTTTCAAGGATACCAAGCATTGGAGCTGTTTCAGTGGCCAATAGACGAGTTCGTTGCAGCAGTTGATTACTAAATCTTGCAGGTTCACAAAACATTCCCAATCCATACAGAAGAAGTAACATCCCCGTAGTTCCATAGTTGCATTAGAAGTTTTATGACTAAATTCTTCTGTACCACTGACCTGTTGTATTGCACATTGTACTTGTGAGGAAGAAGCTGCAATTGTTAATCTGACATCGGACAGTGTTGCCATATATCTTGCTATGGATAACCACATCAATGATTTATCTTCGGGAAATACTAATACTCTCAGCTTTGGTGCTTCAGGTAGAGTTGCCAACTCCGGGCACTCCATAATATTAGCATTCTCAAGTTGAGGAAATATTGGTTGATATCTTTCTTGTGTTCCCCATGCCTTCAAACTCTTCAGATTGTGCAACTTGAGGTTTTTTAAAGCTGGAAATGGGGAGTTCCCTTTATTATCTAAGAATTGAGAAGATTCACCAAATATTACTGCATCTGGAAAGTTTTCCAAGTTAGAGCAACTATCAATTGATAGAATCTCTAGAAGGGGAAACACTAGCTTTTGCCCAGGTCCTCCTTTTACTTCCCACCAACCATTCAAACTTTTTAGATCAACTAAAATAAGTTCCCTTAATTTAGGAAACGTTGAAGATGTCGAATTGTCAACACCCGAGCACAGGTATTGCAAACTTTGCAGCCCTTCCAAATGAAGAATTTCAAGAGATGGCAATTGCCACAATTGCGGAAGGCTCTCGCACATTGTGCAACTAACTAGTTGGAGCTTGATTAGATCTTGCATCATTGTGGGGTTTGTCACCCAAGTTGGAAAATTGGAACTTCTGTAGGAATCCACAGATAGAATTTTAAGCCTGCTGTTTGGAGTAAAAGCATCTAGTACCTTCTCATGTAAATCAATCACTTCATTATGATCATCCTTCCATCCAAAAGATAGCTGGGTTAGGTCTTTCCCTTCCCCATGGCTGCTCATGGATACATCTGCCTCTGTTACATTTTGTAGATGACATAGCTGGAGTTGACCTTGGAGTTTGAGGTGCCTTAGTTCTCCAATGCTACTACAACCAGAATTATTGCCCACAACAAAATATGTTAGTGTCTGTAGGGATGTTAGATGCCCAAGGTTTGGAGGCATGGATTTTAAGGACATGCATCCATCAGTATAGAGATGACGAAGGCCAATCATGTTTTTAATATCCTTAGGAAGGTGACCAAGAGATATACAACCCGAAAGATTTAATGTTTGTAGATTATACAAAATGCATATTTCTTCAGGAAGTGACTTGATATGACAATTGCCAGAGAGATCAAGAAACCTGAGGTGCTTCAAGTGCTTCACTCTTATCTGAAGTCCACCCAAGTTATGGTAATAGAGGCGTAATGCTCGAAGAGAATGGCATTTTGATAAATAATGTAACGAAGAATTGCTAGTATTCATAATGCACAAAAGTGTTTGCATACCTTGACATCTCTGCTTTAGTGAAACATCTGAGAGGGTTTCTGGACGATCAGAGCACAAGAACAAATGACGAACAGTATTTGGCAAAAACTCAATGTAATTGTGACCCTCAGCTATAGTAAAACATTCTTTTCCAATAACAGAAACAGCAACATCATGCATGAGATCATGGATGCTACATATAGTTCGGTAACTATGTCCACTTTCATCCTTGTGTAAAGGTACCTCCTTGACATCCTGAAAGAATGACCTTGAAGCAAGCTCATTGAAAATCTGCTTGCCTTTTGTTTCTGGGCGAATTGCTTCTTCAGATGGGATAAAATCATTCGCCATCCAGAGCAATATCAGCATTTCCACATCAATCACATAGTTTTTGGGAAAGATCGCACAAAAAGCAAAACATTGCTTCATGTATGATGGCAGATCATCATAGCTGAGCTTCAGTATAGGTAAAATTCCATTCTCGTCATCACAGATGCTACTTTTGGTTAATACGGCCCTCCATTCTTCTACAGCTTTCCGTGTGCTTAACATTGAACCCAAGGCTTTTGCAGCTAAAGGGGACCCGTGACATCTGTCCATAATCTCCCAGCCAATTTGAACCAGCTCATCAGGTTTCTGCTCATCAAAACGGAATGCTCTTTTTTCAAAAATTGCAAGCAAATCCTCTTTTTCCATTCTTACCAATTGATGGGCTTTAGTTGTTCCCATTAGCTGAGCTACCCCTTGATCACGTGTTGTCATCAATATGGCACTCCCAACACCACCATATTGTTGAAGGCAATATTTTAGCTTCGCCCACTTATCGGCATCGCAATTCCATACATCATCCAAAATAAGGAGGTACCTCTTTCCACGGACTTCCTGCTGGAGCTTCTCTAGTGCATTTTCGCATTCTTTCTCAATTGACATGCTGATCTTGTTAGCAATGCTTGTAACATCAAAATCATCCAAGACACACACCCACTTCCGTAGCTGGAAATGCTTTTGGATCTCAGGATCGTTGTAAATTATCTGAGCAAAAGTGGTCTTGCCCAAACCACCCATTCCAATGATTGGAAGGACCATGAGATTCCTGTTGCTGGCATCGGTAAGCAGCAAATTAACAATATGCTGCTTCTCTTTCTCTCTGCTGACAATATTCTCAGAGTCAATGATGATTGAATCTGTCTGTCTCCACTGCTTGGAGGTTGGCATTTGTGGTCTATACCTGAACCCAAAGGCATTCATATCAGCAACAAGGTCCTCAATAGAACTGACAATTTTACGCAGCTTCTTGCTCATCCTGTAACGGAACACTAGAGGATTGTTAGCAAGGACTATACTAGTGCTGAGATTTCCATGATTTCCCCTCCTCTTAGCTTCACGACGAAGGGCTTCATACTTGAACTCATCAAATATGTCATTAGCTTTGTAAGCAACAGCCTTGAGTGCTTTGAGCCAAGCACTTACCCCAGGACGGTGAGTTCCTTGCTCCTCAGCATCAATGATGACATCCAATATGGCCGGCAGTTTGCGCTCCAGAATTGTGAGCTGCTCCTCCATACCATCCAGCTCTTGGTACTGTTGCAACAGGTAATTGGAGACCTGCCGATTGACCAAGGCGATGAGAGGCCCAAGCAGCATGCTCGTAGCCATGGATGACAATTATTGATGTGAAGCAACAGACCAGCAAAGCTGTGCTGAACAATTGAATCAATCAAACCTCTTAAAAGCTTAGAGTTATCCATTGGCTTGTTGGCAGCCTTACCTAACACACTTCTATTGAGGCCAAAAAAAATAATCCTTCCCTTAAAAAACAAGTCTATTGACTTTGACTTCACTGCATGCTTTTGGATATTTTGTGTCACATAGGGACCCTCACAGCAAGGCTGTGGAATGTCTCCATCATAAGGTGCAATTATTGGTTGCACAGTTGCACTATTGTTGCTTGATGTTGTGAGCTTATGCCTGTAGGCCTGCTCTGTCCATAATCCAGCTCTGGGTTTTCTCTGCAGAAACTAAACAAGTATGTGAGACAATAATTGAGTTCTTTTGTTTTACTTATATATACAATGTAATAGAAAAGTAAGTATCTAGCTAATGACCAAACTATGCCTGATTGGAAGATTTTGGGAGGTAAACTCCCTCCTTTGACATGCACTGTAGTACACACATTGGGACTGGTGGTAAACTCCCTCCTTTGACATGCACTGTACTACACAGACTGGGACTGGGGCACCTTTTCGCAAATATCTTACGCTCATGCAGACTGATACATAGCACACACCGTGCAGTTGAAATCCATTTGATATTTACGATATGTGGCAATTGTGTTCTTGCGCCTACTTCCCCACACGATTGTTAGAGCCATCGTTTCGCTTATTCGAAATGGCATATTTGCAAACGAAAAGTAATTTGTGAATAAAACTTTTATATACGTGTTCTTAGCAATCTAAAAGTAAAGGCTGAAAAATAAACTTTAATGAAAAAACCTCAAAATCAACTCCAAATTTAAGGTTGAAAATTCAAATTTTGGCTCATAAGTATAAGCATAAGCTAAAAGATGAGGCCCTGTGATTTTCCCCATGTTTTGTAGGGTTTGTGATTTTGCCATTGTTTTTTTAATCAAAGCTTCGATTTGACCCTGGGTTGTTAACTCCTGTTGACAGTGTTAAGTCTATGGTAAAAAAACATGTATAGCCTTGATTATTGTTGCATACTTGCCCCTAATTTTGTACATATGTTGCATCCCCCCTATTTTGATATCAAAGTACATTGACATGAAACTTGCCCAATTTCAACCTGATTTTCACAGAATTCAATTGACATGAAATTTGACAAATATGAAAAAAAAATTGGCAGAATTCTACATAATTTCAATAAAATTTGACACAAATGATGAACCAACATGTCATCCCTTTGTCTTGATATCTGTGGTGAGGATACACTTCCTCAACAATCACCACACAAACACACTGGATTTTAATGGAACTTTCACCTTGGAGATCGGTTTAAAGGAGAAAGGGACAGCACTCATTCTCATAGCCACATAAAAAGGTGAACTGAGAATGGCTTCTACTGAAGCTACATTACCGTTCGACACAAGCTAGCTACTCTGTCCTCTGTCGACACAAGCTAGTTAGTTTCCCTGCTATATATTGAGCGGTCTTTACGGCACTATGGTCAGATGCTGTAATTACTATACTAGTAGTAATTGGTGTTGCTCTAAAAGAAGATGGCTGGCAGCATCGATTCAGTTTGCCATTAACAATCAAGTTCTACCTACATAAAACGCGAAATGAGGCTAAAATTAGCTTACAGAAAACTTTCCGCTTGCTGCTCTCGATCCTCGCTGGCCAGCCTAGCCAGCCGCCGCCCAGCCACGGGCGCCGGCTGTTGCTCGCCGCCACAGCCTGCTACCTTGCCCCACGCGCGGCCACCATGTTCTAGGATTAGGTTGGGATTTGGGAGAATTTAGACTATTTACTATCAAATTTGTGCGCCTCAATTTTTTTACCACTTAATCCATATGCCCTCTATAATATATCACTAGAGCTGCTAATTGTTAGCTCTAATTGTTAGATTTGGTACCACTTTCACTATTTTTATCCCTTTTTATTATTTTTCACATGTTGATGGACATTTTTGCCCCTGGACCCACCTGTCAGATGCGATCCATCTCCCGTCGCCCCTCGCCTCAGCTCGACGCAGTGCCGCCGCCGTCGCCAATGTGTGCTGAATTCTGGATGAAGTTTGGCTGATATATGTAAAATTATTGTAAGCTGTGTTTTTTGAGGCATGATTCTCACATATGCAATCAGGAGATGCCAAGGTGCTTACATACAAGATCAGTATTACTAGCACTCCTACCAAATCGTATCTGTGCTTACATACAAAAATCAATTGGACGATCAGATGGACGGTTGCAGATGGATGGTGGGGTGCTCGGCGGCAGGTGGGGTGGCGGCGCTCGGTGGCGGGGTGGTGGCGCCCGGCGTCGGCGGTGCTCGGCTATGGCGCGGCGTCGCTCTCTGTCGCGGCAGGGAAGGGGCATGCGACAGGAGATGGATCGATCCGATCCAAAGATCTGACAGGTGGGTCCAGGGGGTTAAAATGTCCATTAACATGTGAAAAATAATAGAAAAGGATGAAAATAGTGAAAGTGGTACCAAATCTAACAATTAGCAGCTCTAGTGATATATTATAGAGGGCATACGGATTGAGTGGTAAAAAAGTTGAGGCACGTGAATTTGATGGTAAATAGTCTAAATTCTCGGGATTTGGGAATGAGGATCGGGTGCCCATCAGGGGGTATAAAGGTCAATTCAGAATTATTTTATTTATTATTTTATTTAGTGCTAGCGAAAAAGCCCATGCTTTTGCAACTGATTTTCATAGAAATAAAAGAAAAGAAAGTTCAAATTATAGCGTAGTACTTCCTCTGTCCCAAATTATAAGGTCTATATTTTTTATACGGTCTGCAATAACATACTTTAACTAGTATTTCATTCCATTCTATGATCCCACCAAATATGAAATTAGCATCACATGAAAGTTCTTCAAAATATGAATCTAGTGATATAACATATATAATACTTAGTATAGATATAGTTAGTATGATTACTAGTCAAAAGCTACCGAGTTTAATTTTTCTTAAAAATGGGGCTTCCTATAATTTGGGACGGAGAGATTAACTAGTACTAGTACGCTATAATTTGCTGTTTACCGAATGTTTACTGTGAGCTCTTAATCACTGTAAGGCCCCGTTTGGTAGGGCACCAAACTCCAACACCTAGCTCTAAACTCCCACTCCAGTGGGAGTTGGGAACAAGCTGAAAAGTGTTTGGCTAGCATTCAACTCCAGATCTGAAATTGAAAAAAAAGGAAAAAAATCCCCAAACCCTAGACCGCTCATGCGCCGCCGACCACACGCCATCACTCGCCGCCGCCGCGCGCGCCATCCCCCCACGCGTGTGCACCGACCGTGAGAGAGGTGAGTTTGGGGTAGTTCAGTGCCATTTTTGCGTAAAAAATTAAAGGGTAGTTGGTCTTTTAGGTTGGAGTGGAGCTGTGGAGCTGAAAATCCCAGCTCCACCCCCGTAGTTCATTTTTTAAGAGTAGCTCTGCTAACTCCATTCCCAAAAACGGAGGAACTGGACTATTTGGCACAGATCCGACTCTAGGTAAGTTGGAGTTGGGAGCTGAAGCTGTTCCAAACGAGGCCTAAATCACTACCTGATTCTTACTTCCAGTTTAGTGAGCTGAACCAAAGAATCTACGATGCTTGTCTGTTAGAGAGGACTAACTTTTTTATTCAAGTAAATATGAAGGTTGTTATGTCCTCGATGTGTTGTAATGTGATGCATACCCCGTTGAATGCGACGTCACGATGCAATATGGCAATGATCAAATGGTATATTGTATCTTTTACCTTGCATTGAGTCATAGGAAAGTCGTACTATTAAGGGGGATGATGCATAGACATATAAGGACTAATGCAAGTGCTCAAAATCTATTTTTCTTGGAAGCATTGCCCTCTTGGGTGTGTTCCGGAAATTTTCGGAAGTTCTTTCGGAAGTATTTTCAGAAGGTACGAAAATACACATAACCGATTTTAAGCTTTTGGAAATTTTCGGAAGGAAAATACACAGAATCGATTTTAAGCTTCTGGAAATTTTCAGAAGTTCCGAAAATACATAGAACTGATTTTAAGCTTCTGGAAATTTTCGGAAGTATTTTCGGAAGTTCCGAAAATGTCTGCGAGCCAAATATGCTTCTGGATCGAAAGTACTTTCGGAATTATGTTTGGAAGTTCCGAAAAGTGCGTTGACTTCGATTTTTTCAGATCTGGAATTTTTCGGATGTTCCGAAAATCAGAATTATTGTGTTCCAACGGGCAGATTTGGAGCTGTGGGTATAAATATCCCACTCCCCTCACTTGTGAAGGCTGCTGCTCTCATTACAAACTTGTGCACCCTTGGCGTGCTTCTCTCTCTAGTCATTTGAGCCATTTCTTTCTCGATTCCTCTCTCCACCCGGGTTTGATTCGGATTTGGTGTGTGTGTGAGAGTGTGGATTCGAGTTTGTGTGGGGGCTTCTTGTGGTCTTCGTGAAGATTTGTGAGCACTTGCATCATCTCCGGGAGTTCTTTGCATTATGTTTTACTCTTGGAGGTTGAGGATTCCTAGACGGCTAGGTGTCGCTCCCGAGCCACCGATCTATGTGTGGTTGGCCGGAAGAAGTTTGTGAAGGCCGGATCTCGCCTCCGCAAGGAAAGAGATACCTCTTAGTGGAAGGAGGAGTGCTTAGTGCAACCTCTTGAGGAAATGGTTAGCTAAGACCCTGCTCTTAGTGAGCTCATCAACGGAGAGTAGAATCTACTCAAGGATTTGAACTTCGGGAACAACTTTGCGAGCTTTATCTTGGTGATATTTCTTTATCCCTCTCCACTAGCTCCGCTTGCTTGTGCCGCTATTGGTCTAGTTACTGTTTGTTCCTTGTTTATCCTGTTGTAGACTTCTAGATCTAGAGTTATCATCTTGAGTTCGACTGCACTGAGTATTTTCGGAAGTTCCGAAAATCTCTGCTTAGTTCTGAAAATTCCTGATTCCGCTTTACTTAAGTTTTTAAATTAGCCTATTCACCCCCCCTCTAGGCCTAATTGACCATTTCAATTGGTATCAGAGCCTAATCTCCTAATTAGGCTTAATCGTTTGGAGAGATCATATCGGGTCAAACGGGGGATGGCAAGAAAGGTGATAAGGGAGCTAAGATCCCTTATTACTATCCACCTACATCTACATCTTACGTGAGCACCTATAGCGGTAAAGCTCCGAACTTTAATGGTACGGACTATGCTGCTTGGAAACATAAGATGAAGATGCATTTGAAGTTTATTAACCCTTCTATTTGGAGAATAGTCGAAAAAGGGTATGTTTTGCAGAAACCCGAGGATCCCATCAAGGAGGACGATGAGAACACGAGCACAAGAACGCTCAAGCCGCTGATGCAATATTTAGCGCCTTGAGTGGAAGTGAGTTCAACCGGGTGGACGGCATTGAGAGTGCCAAGGTGATTTGGGATACACTTCGCAACTTGCATGAAGGCACGGATAGCGTTCGTGAGTCCAAGGTGGAGATCCTAAAGGGGCAATATGAGCGGTTTGTGATGTTGGATGGTGAGAGCCCAAGTGACATGTATGATCGATTGAGCAAGATCATCAATGAGATCAAGGGGCTTGAGTCCAAGGACATGACCGATAAGGTTGTGATCAAAAAGATGGTTCGGGCAATCACTCCAAGGAACTCTACCTTGGTGACCATCATTCGTGAGCGTCCAGACTACAAGACTCTCACACCTTATGACTATATGGCAGCTATAATTATAAAATGTCATATATGCAGCCTAAAAATAATACAAGATACCAGCAGCAGCGGAGCTGTGCAGTCGTGCAAATGTGCTCACCGAAATACTTGCGTAGTACGCGTAATAAAGGTTTGCAATTTTGTTTTGGGCAAAAATTTTCGGTTATTTCGGTAAAACCGAAATTTCCGAACATCTTTTGGACCGAAAATTTCTGAATTTTTGATACACTCTAACTGAATTTGACTAAATTTTGACCAAATTCACCAAAATTTGTGAAAAACCAAAAATTTTGGCCGAGATATCAACTTGCCGGGGGATCCAAAATTTCGAAACGAAATTTCAATCACTGCGCGTAATCGGTGAGATCAATATATACATATGCTAATTATGTCTGCAACAACATGCATGGTTCAGGGAATTATTTCACCCAAATGATGTTTTCTAGTTGCTTCAGCCATACGCTTTACAGAAATACCTTGCAATTTAGAAGATGGATTGCCCATGTTCACTACAAAGTCACCAACCCGTTATTTCAGTTTGGGAGCAATCCTGCAACCAAGACATGCACAGAACGAAACAAGCAGAGTTTGGGAGCAATCCTGCAACCAAGACATGCACAGAACGAAACAAGCAGAAGTTAAAATGAATCTGATAGCTTACCAAAAATGTATGCATGTCTTGTTGTGTAATAATAAATCTTGCAAACCTCTATAAAAAGGCCTCTTCATGACCTCAGCGGTGTTGCCTCACCGACATCTGGGGATGACATATTTCCAGGATTTTGGTTCTAGTAGTTTAGGCCCTAACACAAATTAAAGCAAATGTCATTACGTACTGTTTGTCAATCTGAACCCCATAAATTTTTTAATTCCGGAAATATTAGCATTTGGATGAGTAAACTCTCAAAAAGGATGGCTGATGGCCTGATGCTAGACAAATCATAGATGAACTGATTATGCAGTCAGCACAGGACAGGACATATAAGATGTATACAACACTTCGTGTCTTCCTTTAGAACACTGGAATTTCATGAGTTTTGCAGATTTTTCACATAATCATTCCGGGCAACATGCATTGGCACATAGTAGAAAGGGGAATGCTTAACCAGCCGAAACGCTTGTAGTTGAAAAAGAATAATAGTATTTCAATTTAAATATGGTATTGTCATATTATTCACTGTCAAACACTTGATAGCAAAATATTCAGAAAGTGGGAGAAGAAAGCAAGCTTAATACCACAATCAAAACGTTTGTTTTGTTCAAACGTTGTAAGAGAAAATCGGAATTTCTTTTTTGACAGAAAGAAACTCTCAATTACTGATCTTTGAAACCAGTGTATACAGGCTTTTGAGTAGATCATTGATTACCATAACCCATAGTGCAAGGAAACAATGTGGGATCTTCCCTCGAGAAAAAAGAAACAATGTGGGATCTGATATCTGAACTAACTATGAAATACAGTGGTATGCTGTAATTTTGAGTCTAAAGCTAGAAATTACAGCGGGAAAGTTCTTGATCTTAACAAGATGAGTTTTTTGTTTGTCAGACCTTGATAGATATGGACTCAGATTTGCTAGTACAGAAGTTTGTGAGAACATACCGCATACATTAACACAGTAAATGCATTAAATTACACAAGAACAGAACAAAAGCACTTTAGTTAAGTAGAACACAGCAGGCAAAAAATAGCTTGTTAAGAAGTATTCCTGATTTTCTGTACATGCCACCAGGACACAAGGGATCAACAGCTCGCAAGAAAGAAAAATGGAAAGCAGAATGTATACCTTCCCATGGATCGCTGGAACGCATGTTTGACAAGTCTTTCTCCTCAAGGCTATCAAGACGTTGCTGGAGGCGTCCAGGAAGTGACTTCATAGCTGGGCAGTACTTGATTTCAAGTGTCTCTAGGGAGGAGTATGCTCCAGGGCCATCCGGCAAGGACACCAAGCTTTTGCATCTGTAAATGCTGAGACTTGTCAAGGACGGCAAGTTCCCCAGGCATGGTCCCAAGGACCTCAAGTTCTTACAGTCACTAATATATAAGGAGTCGAGTGCATCCAGCTTCCCCGATAGAAATCGGACGTTAGGGCAGTTATACATGTGCAATATTTGGAGCGATGGTGGGAGATCAGGAACCTTTGTGAAGCTATCACAGTGCCCTATGTTAAGGTGTTCTAGGCATGGTAGAAGATGCTCCGTTGCTGCAGCTGCTGCTGATGATGATGGGTCTGGCATCCTTTTGCTCAATAATGTGGTGAGCTGCTCTGCATGTGCACTTCCCGATTCACTATCCTCCTGTTTACCATATATCGATTTCAACCTAGGACAGCGATATATGTCAATAGTCTTGAGGGACCAGGGAAGATTAAATATCTCTGTTAACTCTTGGCAGTTGCGTATTCCTAGAAATTTCAGACGTGGTAGGAGCTGCCCAATTCCTTGAATGGGCTCTCCATCCACTGGCATAATGCCTTTTAGATTTTTGCAAGACTCAACTGTTAGTTCGTTCAATGACTCTAGGCTTTGGAATTCTCTCTGTGGCCAGTGGATGAGCACATCACAGGATTTGATTTCCAGTTTTTGAAGATATTTGCACCATTTCCAAAGCCCAACTGTTGGTTTCGATGGTGTTGTGGGGAAGAACATATTGCAACCATCTAACTTCATTTCTGTAACAGAAGCCTCGCTATTCCATATATCCTTGTCATCTAATGTTTCTACAGAGCTTTGATCTGGTATTAATGCTGCTTCAATGTCATCGATTGACAACTCCATTTTGGACAACAAAGACATGTATCTAGAACCAACAACTAACAGTGACAGGTGTGGTTTATTTTCTTCCAGCTTCAATGTTCCAATTTTTGGTGCTTCAGGGATAACTGTCAACTCTGGACAGTTCTTAATATGAATATCCTCAAGCACAGGAAATATTGCCTCATCCCCTAGTTTTCCCTCCATTGTGCCCCATCTCTTCAAGCTCTTCAAATGTTGCAACTTGAGTTTCTTGAGTTTTTGAAATGCAGAGCACATAATGACATCACTAGCACCACTGCATAGGCTTTGCAATTTATTCAATCCTGTTAAATGCAGAACTTCAAGGGCTGGTAGCTTCCAGAACTTCGGAATTTCCTTGCATAATGGGCAATCAACTAAATGGATCTCTGTCAAGTTCATGAATGTACATACATCTGTCATCCATGTCGGGAAATTGGTTCCTTTGAACGACTGTACCTTTAGCAATTGTAGCTTAGCATGAGGCCTTAGAGCGCCTAGAACATTCTGATAATGTTCTGGGTCCTTTTCTATGTCATTGCTCCATTTGAAACACAAATGTGTGAGATCCACCTTTTCTTTAATATTTGCTGCAATTGCTTGTTCTTCATTTGCATTTTCTAGTTTGCCAAGCTCCAGCTCACCTCCAAGATTTAAGTCATGTATCTCTCCAACATTACTACAATCCGAGCTATTGCCCACAACAAAATATGTAAGTGTCTGTAGTGCAGTTACTTTTCTCAGTTCTGGAGGCATGCACTCCAAGTCTGTACATCCTTGAGTGTATAGGTGCCGGAGGCTAGTCATATACTTCATATTTTTTGGAAGACAACGAAGAGAACAGCAATCAGAAAGATCCAACGTTTGTAAATTATATAATATGCTTATTTCCTCAGGAAGTCTTTCCATATTCCAGCTATGAGAAAGATTGAGATACCTTAGATGATGCAAATGCTTTGCTTGAATTAGACATGGTCGCCCACGAAAATTAGGTATGCATAATGCTCGTAGAGAATTGTATTTCAGTAAATGTTGTGGGAAGCCATCTAAGTGACCAAAGAACATCACTGTCCGGAGAGGTAGAATTCTTTTCTCAATAAAAGCATCCAAAAGGGTATTCATTCTATGATATGATGAAAACAGATGGCGAGAAGAATCTTTCAACAACTGGATGGAATTAGGCCTACCCATTACTGTAACACATTCTTCTCTCATGACATACAAAGCAATGTCATGCATGAGATCATGGATCTTGCACGTCTTCCTAAATTGGCAGAGCTTATCCCTCCTGTACATCTTGAACAGTGATGTTTCGTCCACATCCTGAAAGAAGGATCTTCGAGCCAGTTCGTTGAAAATCCGGTTGCCAACTTTTTCAAGGCCAACTCCATTCTCAGAAGGAATGAAGTCATTTGCCATCCATAACTTTACCAACATTTCCACGTCAATCTCATAATCTTTCGGAAATATAGCACAAAATGCAAAGCATAGCTTCATTTGTGAAGGCAAGTCATCGTAGCTAAGTTTGAGAATCGGTAAGATCCCACTATCATCATCAAAGATGACGCTTTTGCTTAATAAAGTATTCCATTCTTTGGGAGTGGTTTTATTGCTCAGTACAGAGCCTACAGCTCTTGCAGCTAAAGGAGAGCCAACGCATCGATCCACAAATTTGTCAACCATATCAACAAGTTCACTGGGTTTTTCCTTTTTCAAATAGAAAGCTCTTCTTTCAATTATTTCCCATAAAAATCTGTTGTCCAACGTAGTGAGGTTGTGTGCTTGAACGGTTCCCATAATTTGAGCAACTTCTGCAAGACGAGTTGTTGTTAATATCACACTGCCCGCTGCACCCTGTTGAAGGCAAGTCTTTAGTTTTGACCACTTATCAACATCACGATTCCACACATCATCCAACACTAGGAGAAACCTCTTTCCACTAACTTCTTGCTGGAGCTTCTGAAGCACATTGTCACAATCTTTCTCATTTGTGGTCATGCTAATCTTACTTGCAATTTTACTAAGATCAAACTCATCAGACACACAAACCCATCTATTCAACTGGAAATGCTCCTTGATTTGTGGTTCATTATAGATAAGCTTTGCAAAAGTTGTCTTTCCTAGACCACCCATGCCCACTATTGGAAGAACCATTATGTCATTGTTTTCAAGTAATGATCTCACAATCTTTTGCTTCTCTGTCTCTCTAGATCTTTCCACAATATCTTTCTCAGAGTAATCAATGATGGAATCTGTTTGCCTCCACTGCTTAGATGCCAATGATTGCCGCTGATATTTGAATCCAAAAGCATTCATTTCTGCCACAAGGACCTCAATGATCTGAACTATCCTACGAAGTTTTTTTCCCATCGTATAACGGAACATGATACGGTTATGGGTAGGAAAGAGTTTTACCGCATCCATGCCGAGTCCTCGATAGTGCCCATTCTTCTTTGCTTCACGACGGAGTGCCTCGTACTTGAACTCATCGAAGATGTCATTAGCCTCATAGGCCACCTTCTTGAGTGCCTCAAGCCAGGCTTTTACTCCTTGTCTGTGGGATGCCTGCTCCTCAGCATCGCTGATGACATCGAGGATAGCTGGCAGCTTGCGCTTGAGAATCTCATGCTGCTCCTCCATGCCCTCCATCACCTTGTACTGCTCCAGCAGGTAACTGGAGGCCTTCTCCTTCACCATTGACACTAAAGGCCCGATCACCATGCTGGTTACTAGATCAGCCATTGGAACCACTCAAAATCACAACGCACAGGAGGACACAAGGAAACACAGCTGCAGGGTGGAAAGAAGAGAATGGTCTAAGCAACAGTTTTGAGGAAAATGGAAGCAGATGTGAGTATTGAGCTGGGAACCAAGTGAATGAGTTGGATTGGTTGTGACCACTACTCCAATAAAAAAATGACTGCACTACAATATGGCTGGTTGCTTAAATAACATTAATTTGTACAACATGTGATCTCTAATTCTTAAAGTGAGAAGTCAAACTAACCAGCATTGCAACAGCTCAGTCGGCATTATTTTTGGAATAACGAAGTAGCAGCTGAACCTCTTATCATATCACGTTTGCAGTAGCACAGATTGAGCCATCTCGTTTCTATTTTCACAATAACATTTTTCAGGATGCAAAATGGCCACATGCTTCTCCCTGATTAGCCGTTTGAGAGCATGTACAGTGTGTGATTATAATAACATCCACCTGCAGCAATCAACTGAGTCAATTCACCACTGGGCCAACCAACGATGGAGCAAAATAATGCATTTCTTCCAATTTGTTAACTGCACCACATGCTTCTCGCTGAAGATAAGACAAAAGCAACATTTTTTTATAGGACCTCAAGTCATCAACGACAACTGTGATATGATTGGTGTGATTATTGCCAACTCATACTTGGCCTATTTTTCAGTGACGAAAAGGGTAGCAGATGATTCAAGTTTTTTTTTTGCGTGGGCCTAGCATTGCGGTTCAGGTTGACCAGATTAGCTTGCATACTTTCATTTCAGTCATGATTCTTACATATCACACAAATATTTTTTTTTACCTCAATGAGATTACAGGAAACAGACTTGGAAACAAAAGCAAAGAAAGAAGAAAAAATGAAACGACAGCAGCAGCTAATTAATTCTACCCCCATGAAAAAGAAACAAATATATCTACTTCAAAAAATATATCGCAGACTGATGCTTATTCCTCGCCATCTTAAAACACTTATTCTGTTGCAAGTTGCAGTCGTACACCTTAGTTCTCACAATTAAATGTACGATCTTCATTTATTCATACAACAAAAATTAACAATGTGCAACAACTTTGATGCAACTATATACAACACAACTTCAATTGGAAAATGCATGGGGAAGCTCAAAGCACATATTAATAAACAACCCTACAAATAGATATAAACAAGGACAGGAAAGAACTAGATGATAAACAAAAGGGGAGCAGAAATGAACTCAATAAGTGGTGATATCTGTTATTGTCAGAAGATGAACTCTACATTGGAGAAAATAGAAATGTTTTCGGCACAAACTTACTTGGAGGGACTTAAATGAATTCGTTTATTGTCCTGCAGAGCATAGAACTTGTAACTGGCCTCTTTTCTCATGGCTAAATTTCTTTGTTCTCAGTATGGTGGCCTCCTCTATACTTTACCTGTCAATAAACCACCAGTAATGTATGGAATTAGATGCATAATGTAGTACAATTTGTCTTGCTATATATGTGTGTTTCCTTCACACAGGCACAATGAAAGAATTGGGCATTTGCTGAGGCTGGTCTACCCCATTCGACCACTGGAAGTAACTTGCAGATATGTGCTACTCAACAAAACAGGCTGAATCAATTTATTTGTGGGCCTACAAGAGGTAATGCAACTCGGATGGATGGTGATCCATGGGCTCTTGAATAATAAACTAAAACAGCGATGATGTGGTCATTCAGTTCCTAGTTAGCACAAACACGGTTTGTGCAATTTCTATTAGCAATGCAATGCAATTAGATATTTCTTTCTACTTCATCACTTCCTTTATGATACCAATGTATACAAGGGCACAAAAAATTACACGTAGGATTTTTATGACATAGAGAAACGCGAGAGATGAGGAATTTCTAGTTGTATGGAATTGCAAGAGCAAGAATCAATGAGGGACGCATAACTATGCAGTACTGTATCTCCATGCCAATACCACAGCATATTCAGTACTCCCTCTATTTCACGTTATAAGACATTTTGACTTTGATCAAAGTCAAACTGCTTTAAGTTTGACCAAGATTGTAAAAAAAAGTAGTAATATTTTTAACCCAAGACAAATTTATTATGAAAATATATTCAATTATTGATTTGATGGAACTAATTTAGTATTATAAATATTACTATATTTGTCTATAAACTTAATCAAACTTAAAACAGTTTGACTTTAACCAAAATCAAAACGTCTTATAACCTGAAACGGAGGGAGTAGAAGTTAGCACAGATTCGAAGTAGGAGGAATTCCAAGAGATGACAAGTTTTGAAAAAAAACAACTAACAAAAATACTGAAATATAGACATAGAAGTTAAAATGATGGAAACAAAGTACCTGTTTCGGCTATGTAGTCAACAATAACATATCCAATCCAAGAGGCCCCTCCTGGATCCCCTTCAATGAGATCAACATCGACATTCCTAGAGGCTGAGGTAAATGTGTTTCCGTCCGCCTCAACATTATCCGGGATCAACCCTTGACCGCTGTTCACATCTTCTCCCGGCCAACCCCCCTGGCGGAGAACAAGAAACATCACCCGGCCAACGTGCACCCCCGTTCACCCATTTGGTCGAACACCTTTCAGGCGCTCCTTAAGTCGTTCGTACCTTGCCATGCCATAATACTAAAGCACGCGGCAAAAGCAGAACGGTCCGTCTCATCCCTCATCGTGAAGAGGCCGCACGGAGAGACATTTTCAGTTGAGATGGAGGAGGAATCACTGCCATTCCACCGAGCACCACCATTGGCAGTTTGGCACCGCACGCGCGCGTGAATCTCCTCCCGCACATCCACCCTGTATGCTGGCTCAGCCAAGTTCTCTTGCCCTCTGCTGCTACTGAACCTTACAGGGATTCTGACGGAAGACTGAAGAGTGATGGCCGCTGGCTCCCTTTGCCGCGCGGCGCACATGCCGTCACCGGTTGTGCAGCACACGGTGGCGAGGAGAAGAAGGCCTCCCTCAAGGCGATGGTTTTTCATGGGCCCACAGAGTCATAATTGGCAACTGAGGCCTGATTTAGTTCCCCATAAATTTTACCAAAAAACATCACATCGAATCTTTGAACACATGTATGGAGCATTATATATAGATTAAAAAAACTAATTAGACAGTTAGTCCATGATTAGCCATTATATATATATATATATATATATATATATATATTAAAAAAACTAATTGCCATATCAAAACTATTTTCATAAATAAGGTGAATCATGTTATGAAACCTATCTTATTGTGGACGAATTAAATTATGAGTGGAAGCTTACTACAAAAGAAGGCTTACGCTAGAAGCCAGCTTATAGAGGAAGCCAGCTTACAGAGGAAGCCAGCTTATAGGAGAAGCCCGCTTACGGCGTAAGCCGGCTTACGACGCAAGCCAGAAGGTCCAAGGCTTACGACGTAAGCCTCCACCCTCCTCCGCCTATAAATAGGGCCCAGAAGGTCCAAGGCGATGACAACCGATCTCCGGTCTTATGTTTCTCCTCTTGTAGCTTGTACTCAAATCCATAAGAAATAAAGCTTCCACTCGCTCATACTTTCTGTGTTCCACAACTCTGTGTTTGTCTGCTTGTGTGCTGATCAGTAGAATAGACTGGTTTCTCAACACGTTATCAGCACGAGACTCTACCGAGCTAAACAGGTAAACAGGTAAGAAATCAGTTTCTACTGATCATCTTGCTCTTTATATGCAAATCATTCTTCTGCTATAGTTGAAATAAACAGAAGAGCATGGTACCTGAAGTACCATTCCCCGATATCCTCTCAGCGATACACGATAACATCATGGCGGCTCTGCCGCCGTTATCGTTCAATTGCTAGAGTTGATACATCCTCTCAGCAACGCCCAGTAACATGATGGCGGCTCTGCCGCCGTTACCGTCCAAAGGCTTGAGATGGTACATCCCCTTAGCACTATTTGATAACACAATAGCGGATATGCCGCCGTTATCGTCCAAATGCTAAAGGCGATGTAGGTGCCTAAAGCACCGGCATGGCAACTTAATGGATGGCTCTGCCGCCGTTGCCACCAAATATCGGAGGCAAACGAACCTTCTGCACGACCCTGAAGTGTCGTTACAGATGTTCTTTGTTTTATGGACATCACCCATATGGGCCCTTGATGCCGCTAAGGTCGGCTCTGTCGCCATGAAGCGTGGGCTCATAGTGGGGAAGTACAATATGGTTTATCTTACTTTTTACAGTCTGCACAATATGCATGAAGTGCCCATGTATGCTCTTCATTTTGTTTTACATGCTTACTTTGTTGTTTGCATGACTTTCATAACATTTATTTTATTGTTATGAAATTGATTTCCTGATTAATAATATTTAATCAAGCAATCTGTAATCCTGAAGATTACTTAAGTTAATTTGCTAGGAAAGATTCTATGGGAAACTGTGTGATAATCCTAAAGATTACACACACTAGTAATCCTGAAGATTACGCATGACCAATTCATGTCGACCCTGCACATTGTATTTACCTGTCGTAAATACTAAATGATGTTGTAGAACATGTCGGACATAGCAAAGAAGGAATTCGCCGAGCTTGCCTTGGATGGTAGTAACTACCTCACTTGGGCATTGGACGTTAAGATTAAACTCGACTCCATGAGTCTCGATTATATTATTGTAATGCCCGAAGTTGGCACAGTGGAGTCTACGAAGGCCGAGGAAGCAAAGGCATTGCATTTCTTGCGCCACCATCTCCACCTAGACCTGAAGTCTGAGTATATGACCGAGAAAGATCCACTGGTATTGTGGCAATCCCTGAAGGATCGCTTTGACCAGCAAGGGTCAATTGTGCTCCCACAGGCACAACATGACTGGATCACCCTACGCTTCCAAGACTACAAGTCTGTGGCGGCGTATAACTCTGCCCTACATAGGATCATTTCTCAGTTGCGTTTATGTGGCCTGAAGATCACTGACGCTGAGATGATCGAGAAAACCTTATCTACCTTTCATCCCAACAACATAGTGCTGCAACAGCAATACAGGAACTCAAAGTACCCGAAGTACTCTGATCTTATCTCAGTCCTGTTAGTTGCAGAAAGGCAGAATGAGGTTCTTCTAAGGAATCATTCTGCTCGACCCACTGGGTCTATGGCACTGCCTGAAGCACACGCTAATGTTAAAATATTAACAATCCAGATTTTTCCCATTTTCGTTCCTTCTCTCCAGTTTTTAGTAAAATACTTACCGTCTTTTTCTTTCCGAGTTTTCTGTTTTTCTAGTGTCTCCCCACGTTTCAAAAGTAACGAATTTACTATGTGGAGTTGTCCATTTACTCCCAGCCTCCCACATATGCTCGTCCATTTACTCCCAGCCTCCCACATATGCTCCTTCAAAACTAACAAATTTACTCGCATGAATACCCCCTTCAAAAGTAGCAAATTTACTTGCATGAATGTCCCCACATCGTACAACAACATTCCTAAATGGTCGTAAAAGAATTACTACCAACTTATAACGCTAGTAGTTCTTTTACCAGTGTTATAAATATTGTTTAGATTTTGTGGTCTGCGAGTAAAACAATTACCACCTTCCTCTCGATATAGCCCATGATCTCGTAGCCATTGTGTAAGAATAAGTTTATTGATGTGTTCAATGCACAGTATAAGAGTAAAAACTTAGACTTCGTGGTCTGCGAGTAAAACAATTGCCACCTTCCTCTCGATATAGCCCATGATCTCGTAGCAATCGTGTAGTAATATGTTTACTAATGTGTTCAATACACAGTATAAGAGTAAAAACTGATACTAAGAGTATTGTTAATCTGTACCACAAAATAGTCGTACGAATGAAAAAATTACAGGCTCAATCATACACAAGTGATAAAAATTACTCACAGGTGAATCAAACTAGAAAACAAAAAAGATGATTCAGCCAAAAATCCATTGTGAAACTAGGATCCTGGTGGCTTTGCTGGATCTTGCTATAACTGGCCGGTGTCTTGTGATAGGTAATGGAGAGGGCAACTGGGTGGCAAGTGGTAGTCCATGATGGAATCATGGAAGGGTGTAGCGGTGTGGTATAGAGATGGGCTCGACGTTGCACAGTAACAGCCCTCCATCATCTAGCAAGCACGAAAAAAATACAAAAACATTCTTGTTCATGTCATAGAGACGACGAGTAAAAGAAAAATAGCAAACAACCTCCATCCCCAGCGGACTCCACCCTATCCTCTGCAACTAATCACATGGAGCACGATGTGCAAATGTAGGACCTGTGCAGCCCATCAATTCAGATCAAGTTATATTGGAGATTACACGTTAATTTGATTTGCAAAAAAGAAATTGGGGCTTCATGCCTGAAGATAAAGGAGAGTATGCAGATGCAAATCAAAGTGTCATTTCCTTACTTTCTTGTTCTGCCAATGTCGCCGATGTGGAGCAGCTGCTGGTTGTTGATCCAGGCCCAGGTGAACACCTCCTTGCTGGTTAAGGTGATGCCCAACGTCCGGCAGCGAGGCCCGAAGCAGCGCCTTCACCTCAACTGCCATCGGCCATCACTCACTGGCCACCGCCATCAACCGCCCTGCCACGGTGTCGCCGTCCTCTTCCATGGTGTGTCACCTATATGTGGGCTGAGATGGTGGATCGATCCAGATCTGAAAAAAAGAGAAGAAAAATGAAGTGGGGACGAGAGTGGTTGGTTGGATACGGGAAAAATAGAATATATACCGGAATTAGGGAAGTTGTTTTTATCGAAGTAAATCATTTACTCCGATAATAGTGGGAGCAGGATGACGTGACGTGGGGTGGGATCGGAAGTAGAGAAGTTGTTTTTATTATCGAAGTAAATCGTTTACTCCGATAACGATAGGAGCAGAATGACTGGACTAATACATGTTCGGCGCTCGGAATACTAAGGAACACGCTGCGCTCCTAATAGTAGTACTATATTTTAATATTAAAATATAAAATATTTAATCTATTATATGAGAAACAATATAACGATGCTAGCCGCACAATATGTGCGGGCCGCCATACTATCTGATGTGCGGCTCACATGGACAGAAACAAGCAACTCAGCCTACATATAAAATGATCAAACCAAACACGAATAGCATGCTTGAGAGAAATAGAGCACAGCAAGGACAACAACCACTGCATCAGGAGAAGTCCATGAAGGAACAGAACCCACAGCTAAAAATATATGAGAATCTAACAAACTACAGAATTCCAAATTGATATTGCTTATTGACTGCTGCTACTTGGATTCCTTGCACACAGGATGATGCCCCTACTTTTTTTCTTCATTGTTTTTTTGGATACATACGAATAGTTTAGCATCAGTATAGGTGCCTTTTAAGGGGCAAAATCCATCAATAGCGTGGTAGTTTCTTCTGCAGAATATAGCACTTGTAACTGGCCTCTTTTCTCATGGCTAAATTTCTTTGTTCTCAGCATAGTGGTCCTCTCTATACTTTAAATGTATGGAGCTAGAAGCATAATGTAGTCTGATTTGTGTTGCTATGCGTGTTACTTTCACACAAGCACAATGAAAGAAATGGGCATTTGATAGTCTGGATCTACCCCCATTCGACCACGGAACTAACGTGCAGATATGTGCTAGTCAGCGAAACAGGCTGATTAAACAAGGTTTGCGCAATTTCACTTACCAATAGTTGGAAGAAGCAGCACCATACTTTAACTTGTTGCAAATATAGTACTGCAATTCGTGTAGTAACTCTTTACTTTAAGAGGAGAGTATTTTACGGTCTTCATGAGTACTGCAATGTTTAGAGTTAATTTATGATCTTTTTTTTATATCTCAACACAGATAAGATATTGAGTAGTATCAAAATTAGCAATAAAATACAGTACCTCTTAGGCTGTGTTATTTCCTCATGGTTGGGAACACTACCCTCCAGCACGGAAAACGGAGCAGACCATTAACGCGTGCCTAATTAAGTATTACCTTTTTTTAAAAAAAATAGATCACTATGATTTTTTTAAACAACTTTCATATAGATATTTTTTTTAAAAAAAATACACCGTTTAGTAGTTAATGGTTGAAAACCCCGAGTAACGAACAAAGTCTAAAGTACCGAGATCAAACTTGTCCCAAACTAAATTCTGCCCAGCTAAATGGTCCATCTGATATATATTGCCCGATCCGAATCAAATTTTACTTCCTCCCAACAAATAGATAAAGAACACTGTGCATAGGGACAAGTACTTTTGTTTGAGATAGAGAGAGAGAGAGAGGAAAAGTAAACTGACCTTGTTCAGGCTTAGCTCTGACGAATTGGAAGCTAGTAGGTGCAGATGCATTACACTGAATCCTATCCGGGTTTGCAGCTGGTGCAGGCAGTCAGGCTAGAAACGTGTGGGCATTCCGTCGAGCATGTTGTGGTCATGCCTGGACGGCGTCGCCGACCCGCATCCCAGTTTGCCGGCGTTCTCCACTACACAGGGACCACACATGAGTTCTCCTCAGTCGCTAGTGCCCCCTATCAATTAGCTCTAGATGCAACCAGACGGTGGGAATTCTGGGTCATTGGGGGGTACTTACCTGGGGTTTTGCAGTTAGGTGCATTGCATCCTTGGTTGCTGGTGATGGCAGCTCCGAAGACTGATGGAATTGGGGTTTTTGCAGTTGGATGCGTCGTCGGTGGCTCTGAACTCTCAGGACCGAAGAAATTTGGGCGTGTGATATCGCTAGCTAGGTTTTCAGGTGGCTCATGCCTTGGTCGATTCTTTGACAGCTTCGTCTGGTCTTTTTTTTTTTTGGCTGCCTCCGGGAGGATATTTGCTTGGTTTGAAACGTGATTTATCAGCTCTAGTGATAGGTAAGTATATATTGTATTCGAGGAAAGAAGTGGTAACATGTTGGACCTGTATTAATTATGCTGTATTTCTACTTGCTGAAATCTCAATTTCAATATTTGGACCCTGTATTATGTCAGCTAGCTAGTCCAATTAAACAGATGAATTACTAGCATATATCACAATTCAGAATCCGTGTTGATTAGTTTTTCCTAAAAACCAATACTAAAAGCTTGTTATAAGATACTCCAAAGTCCCATTTGGATATACAGCAGCTACAATCATAGAGATGTGCTCACACGGACGTGCGAAGTATGCGTAATTGGTGAGAATATATACCGCTGCACTGTCGTGGGAATGTGTGAGTGGGTTGGCTGTGTGCACTGTCATGGTGCAGAGCCCGAAAGTGCCTTCGGAATAATTTTTGACTGAGTAACAATAAAATTTTCATTATGTAAAAATATATACTGCTGCTGCTAAGTCTGCAACAATATGGTGAAAAAAGAAGATAATTTCACCGAGATGAGGTTTCCAAGTTGCTTTAGCCATAGACTTGACCATACAAAATGCTCCATCTTAGAACCTAGAAGATGCATTGCCCATGTATTCAAATCCCAAGTCAACAATGGGTGAGCTCTGCTAGGGAGCTATCCTGCAAGGCAGAGAGAAATCAAACAAGCAGAACTAAACTGAATCCAGTAGCATATGGAAATGTATAATATAGGTCATGTTGAGTAGTAATAATTAATCTTGCAAACCTTAATAGAAAAAGCTTCTTCATGGCCTCATCAATAGTGTTGGATCACAAATCTCTGTTCCGACGAATGACATATTTCCAAGATTTTGGTTCCAGCAATTTAGCACCTAAAATATAGCAAATGTCATTATTATTTGTTTATTTAAACTCCGCAAAATTATTAATTCTGGAAATGATCAAATTTGGGATATAAGCATGTGCATGAGTAAACTCTCGAAAATGATCAAGTTTATTTATCTACAGACTCAGGCTACCTACCTTTATAACACAGGAAATTTTTTAGAAATTTGAGAATCATGACAAGTAACATATGCTTCGACACTTATTAGCCAGATCAAACGCATATAATGTTTTTATTCTTTTAGGCAAATGTAATATTTGTATTAAACAAAAACAACTCAAATGTTTGATACTGTCATATCATCCTATTCACTTTCAAACACTACAGAGAAAAATTAATCCACAGAAAGTGCGAGAAGGAAGAAAGCTTAACACACAACCAAATTAAACGTTTGCTTTGTGCAACCGTTGTAAGCTAAAATCTGAATATATGATATTCGAAATCAATGTACCAGCTCCTGGTAAGACGAGTGATTACCATAGCCCATACTTCCTATAATAATGTGATACCAGGTACGAATGCAGTGTACCAGATTTGCTGTCGTGGCGAGACTAAAGCTGGGCATTATAGCAGGAAACAAGAAGCTGAATTTCATGATGTGCCAAGTGCAAACCCCTTGGTAGCCATGCACTCGGATTTGCTGTTGCAGCAGTTTGTTCAATTCATGCTTAAAAATTTTATGCCATATATTACTATATGCTACTCTCTTTTTTTTCGAGGATATGCATGCATAAACTAACACATGCAGGGAAAATATTTCATCTTTAAGAAGTACTCCGATTTGTAATTTCCTGTCTGGGCACTGGTACACAAGGGACAGCTTGCAAATAAAAGGGAAAAACCAGGAAGTACCTTCCCGTGGATCGCTGGAGCGCATATGTGACAAGAGTTTCTCCTCAACGCTATCAAGACGTTGCTTGAGGCATCCAGGAAGTGACTTCATAGCTGGGCAGTACTTGATTTCAAGACTCTCCAAGGAGGAGTAAGCTCTAGGACCATCCGGCAAGGATGTTAGGCTTTTGCATCTTTCAATCATGAGTGTTGTCAACGACGGCAAGTCCCCCAGGCATGATTCCAAGGACCTCAAAGTCTCGCATCCAGAAATAGCTAGACATGTCAGTGCATCCAGCTTCCCTGATAGAAACTGAACCTTAGGACAGTTAAACAGTGCCAATGACTGGAGCGATGACGGGAGATCGCGAAACCCTGGTAAGTTATCAAAATCGTTTATATAAAACGTTTCTAGGCATGGTAGACTATGCACCCTTGCTGATGGTGATGGGTCTTGCGTGTTTGTCCCCAATTCAGTATCCTCCTGTTCATCCCATACAGACTTCAACTTAGGGCAGCCGTCGATGTCAATAGACTTGAGGGATAGGGGGAGATTAAAAAGCTCTGTTAAGTCTTGGCAATCTTCTATTTGTAGCGAGGTAAGATGTGGTAGGAGCTGTCCTTGTGCGGCTCTCCGTCGACTGGCTTAACTTTTAGATTATTACATGACTTAACTATTAATTCCTTCAACGACTCTAGGCTGTGGAATTCTCTCAGTGGCCAGAACAGGAGCACATCACAGGATTTAAGTTCTAGTTTTTCCAGATTTCTGAAACATTGCCAAAGCCCAAGTGTTGTTCTCGACTGACTTGTGGTAAACAACATATTGCAGCCAAATAACTTCAGTTTAGTGACAGAAGCCTCTGCCTCATTTACTGGTAGTAATATTGCTTCATCAGCACAGATGGATAACTTGATTTGAGACAGTGAAGACATGTATCCAGATACAAGAACTGACTGTGACAGATGTGGGCTGTTTTCTTCCAGCTTTAGTATTCTGAGAATTGGTGCTTTAGGGAGAAACGTCAACTTTGGACAGTTCTTGACATGAATATCCTCAAGCAGAGGAAACGTCAGCTCATCCCCTTCCATTGTGCTCCATCTGTTCAAGCTCTTCAAATCTTGCAATTTGAGTTTCTTCAAATTTCCAAATGCAGAGGACCCACCATGATATTACTAGCACCACTACATAGGCATTGCAAATTATCCAATCCTATTAGATACAGAACTTGAAGGGCATGTAGCTGCCAGAATTCAGGAAATTCCATGCACAATGGGCAATCAACTAAATGGAGCTCTGTTAAGTGCCTCAATGTACTGTTATCTGTCATCCACGCTGGAAATTTGGCTCCTTTGTAGGACCGTACCTTTAGTAATTGTAGCTTAGCAGGAGGCCTAAGAGCGCCTAGAACATTCTCATAATGGTCTGGTTCCTTTTTTATGTCACTACTCCATTTGAAAGACAGATGGGTGAGATCCACCTTTTCTTCGATATTGGCTCCATTTGCTTGTTCCTCATTTGAATTTTCTAGGTTGCATATATCCAGCTCACCTCCAAGCTTCAATTTCTGGAGCTCTCCAATATTGCTAGAATCTGAGACATTACCCACAACAAAATATGTAAGTGTCTGCAGTGCAGTTAGTTTTCTCAGTTCTGGAGGCATGCACTCCAATTGTTCACATCCATGAGTGTAGAGGTGTCGGAGGCTAGTCATATACTTCATATTCTTTGGAAGACAACGAAGCGGCCAGCAAGCAGAAAGATCCAACGTTTGTAGATTATATAATATACTTATTTCCTCAGGAAGTCTTACCATATTCTGGCTATAAGTAAGATTGAGATACCTTAGATGATGTAGATGCTTTGGTTGGATTAGATTTGTTCCCATAAAACAACGGCAGTATAATGCTCGTAGAGAGTTGTATTTCAATAAATGTGGTGGCAAGCTATCTAATCGAATAGTATCGAGCAGCACTGTCTGCAGAGGAGTTCTTTTCTCGAAAAAAGCATCCAAAAGCGTGTTTGTTCTATCATATGATAAAAACAGATGGCGAGAAGAATCTTTCAACCGCGTCGAATTAGGCGTGCCTGTTACTGTGATGCATTCTTCTCTCATGACATGCAAAGCAATGTCATGCATGAGATCATGGATCTTGCACATCTTCCTAAATCGGCAAAGGTTATATTCTAAAGAGTACTTGGACATTAAGGTTTCCTCCACGTCCTGAAAGAATGACCTTCGAGCCAGCTCATTGAAAATACTGTGGCCAATTTTTTCTAGGCAAACTCCATCCTTAGAAGGAATGAAGTCATTTGCCATCCATAACTTTACCAACATTTCCACGTCAATCTCATAATCTTTTGGAAATACAGCACAGAAGGCAAAGCATTGCTTCATTTGTGAAGGCAAGTCCTCATAGCTAAGTTTGAGAATTGGTAGGATCTCACTATCGTCATCACAGATGACGCTTTTTCTCAATAAAGTACTCCATTCTTCAGGAGTGGTTCTATTGCTTAGTACAGAACCTAGAGCTCTTGCAGCTAAAGGAGAGCCAACACATCTATCCACAAATTTGTCAACCATATCAACAAGCTCACTGGGTTTTTCCTTCTGCAAATTGAATGCTCTTCTTTCGATTATTTCCCTTAGAAAGCTTTTCTCCAAAGTTGTGAGGTTGTGTGCTTGAACTGATCCCATAGTTCGAGCAACTTCTGTGAGACGAGTTGTTGTTAGTATTGCACTGCCAGCACCACCCTGCACAAGACATGTCTTCAGTTTTGCCCACTTATCAGCATCACGATTCCACACATCATCAAGCACCAGGAGGTACCTCTTTCCACAAACTTCTTGCTTGAGCTTCTGAAGTGCCTTGTCACAATCTTTATCATTTGTAGTCATGGTAATCTTGCTTGCGATTTCACCAAGATCAAACTCATCAGATACACACACCCATCTTTTCAGCTGGAAATTCTCCTGGATTTTTGGTTCATTGTATATAAGCTTTGCAAAAGTAGTCTTTCCTAGGCCACCCATTCCAACTATTGGAAGCACCATTATATCATCATTTTCAAGCAATGCTTTCACAATCTTTTGCTTCTCTGCCGCTCTGGATCTTTCCACAATATCTTTCTCAGAGTAATCAATGATGGAATCTGTTTGCCTCCATTGCTTGGAAGCCAATGCTTGCCGCTGATATTTGAAGCCAAAAGCATTCATTTCAGCCACAAGGACCTCAATGAACTGAACTATCCTGCGAAGTTTGTTGCCCATCCTATAACGAAACACGATACGGTTATGGGTAGGAAAGAGTTTTACCGCATTCATGCCAAGTTCTCTATAGTGCCCATTCTTCTTGGCTTCACGGCGGAGTGCCTCGTACTTGAACTCATCGAAGATGTCGTTAGCCTCATAGGCCACCTTCTTGAGTGCCTCAAGCCAGGCTTTTGCTCCTTCTCGGTGGGATGCCTGCTCCTCAGCATCGGTGATAACATCAAGGATAGCTGGCAGCTTGCGCTTGAGGATCTCATGCTGCTCCTCCATGCCTTCCATCACCTTGTACTTGTCCCGAAGGTAGCTGGAGGCCTTCTCCTTCACCATTGACACCAGCGGCCCGATCACCATGCTGGTCACCAGCTCAGCCATTGCAACACCCTGAAATCAGAGGAGTACAAAGGGAAACACAACTGCAGGGTGGCGAAACGAGAATGGTCTGAGACTCTGAGTTGCTGTTCTGAGGAAAACGGATGACGATTCTGGTATTTGCTTTGTGAAAGCCCATTAGATATTTAGATGCGTTTGTTTGGTTTGCACCCATTACTGCAATATAAAATTGTTGTAGTAGAAATGGCTGGTCACCATTCCGATCTAGGTACAACCTGTTCTTTTGCGAGATTCCTTAATTAGTACAACTTTTTCTTTGAAAGATTCCTTTGTGGTACAACTTTGTCTTTTGTGAGAGTTCTTTGTACAACTTGATCTGTAAAACAAATGAAAAGCTAGCAAACCAACGTTGCAACAGTTCAGGGCTAGGCATTACTTTGGACTATTCGAGTAGATAGATATTAGCAGACAAATGAGCTAAGCTTTCTAGCGCGTTTGCAGCTGTGCAGATGGACACACGTGATTTCTTTTTTCATGTTACAAATGTTAGTATGCAAATTAACCAAATGTTTTTCCTTGATTAGCCGTTTGAGAGCATGTGCAGGGTGAGATTACCAAACATCCACTTGCAAGAATCAACTGTGTCAATTCATCATGGACCCAACCCGCTGGGGTGGGGTGGGGTGTTGTTTGGGGAGGGGGGTGGGTGGGTGGCATAATACTAGTTCTTCAAATTTGTTAAAATGCACAACAGATGAAGAAGTCATTCATTTCTTTACTAGGTTATTTTCCAATGACAACACTATTATTAGATATAGATGTCATCAAAATCGACTTCCCTTCTTCTCTTCAAAGAATCAAACTATTTAATATGTTGATCTGATTATTATCAACTTACACTTTTAGGGAACAGGGCAGCAAACGATTCAGTGTTTTTTTGCTATCTGTTGGACTCAGGTTCATCAACTTAATCTGTGAGCTCGATATAGCTATTGCAGTCATCATACATACATATAGCATAGTACAGCCTCATTAATCACTTGGGCAGAAATAAGCAAGTGGGGTTACATAACCAAAACACTCAAACCAAGCATAAGGAGCCTATTTGAGAGAGAGGTATAAAGCATGATAAAGATAATAAACATAAGCAATGGATACCACTTCCCAGGCATGCCAACACAAACTAATAAAAACAAAATGTTGTCTGTTACTGCTATAATCTAATATGTGGGGAAAACCACGAAAGAAACATAATCTTAAGTGTAGGGTGTAAGAAGCACAGTATGATTGTCTTGCAATGTGAGTGAACTCCAAAGAGGCAAAACCAAAGAAATGGGAATTGCCGCATTGGAGGAAGAGTGTGCCAGAAGCTAGGCTGGGTCAACCTATTGGACCAGTGACTTAACTCGCAGTTATGTGCAATTGACAAGAATTGGCTGATCTACTCCATTTTATTTGAGGGCCGACAAGGGAACATGCAACTCTAACAGACAGTGATTCGTGGACTGTCTGTCCAATCCTAATAAACTAAAACAGCCCATCATGCAGCCATTCAGTTCCTTGTTTAGCACAAACAAGGTTTCGGCAACTTCGCTTGCTAGAGTAAGAAGAAGCAGAACCAATTTAGTTTGAAATTTTCTTCTACTTCTTTTGCCTCTTTCCCTTATGCTCCCAATGTCTACAGGCGTACCAAAACTAAATGTAGGATCTCTATGACATAACAAACATGAGCAAGCCTTCTATCACTATGCACTACATATCTGCATATCAAAGCATCTAGCATCTTCAGTACTAGTAATTACCACAGATTGAAAGAGAGGAATTTTCAACGAATGGCAAGCAAATATATAGGCATACAAGTTCAAAACGATGGAAATAAAGTACCTGTTACGGCTCCGCTCAATGGTCCACAGATGCAATCCATCAAGTCTCTTCTAGAGCCTCCACGAAAAACATCGACAAGACGAAGCCGCCGTAATACATTTCCCTCCTCCTCGCGCATCCTTCGGGATGGATCCTTCAGTCAAGCTGCTCGCATCTCCTGGATAAGAGTTCACACCCACGTCCACGTTCACCCATTCCGTCGAACACCATTCAGGCAGTCCCTGAGCTGTTCGCATCTCGCCTCGCCGTAGTAACACACGCGCGGCAAAAGCGGGAACAGACGAACAGTCCATCCCCATATTTCTCAATCCCTCGTCATGAAGAGGACATACTCGTGGTCTGCCGTGTCGTCGAACTACCACCACCCGAATACACGATGCAGGTTAGGCCGCCACGCGCGGCGCCACCAGATGTTCGATAGCTAGCCCTCATGAACCTCCTCCCTCCTCCCAGGGCTCGCCAAACAGCTCTTGCCGGATACTGCTCATGGCCCGGTTGGCTGGCTCCCCTCGCCGCCGCAGGCCGCAGGCCGCCGGCGCCGGCAGTGCCGCAGCCGCGAACGGACAACAAGAGGTTTCATGGGTTCACACTTGACACTAGGCAATGGGGTGGGAAGGCAACTTGGATGGAGGCCCAGAAGTTGGTTCTGCGAGGTGCAATAGTTTTCCACCCCTACTCAAATTGGAATAAGTTCACTTTGGGTCCCTCTAGTTGTCGCCCAGTCCGATTTTCGTTCCTTGGTCGCAAAATCGGGTACGATGGGTCCCCAACTTACGAAACCATTTAAATGAGGTCCCTCGGCAGTATTATGTCCGGTTTAGCTGAGGTGACGCCTACTTGGCTCTTTTTGACTAGGTCTTTATCCAACGTGTCATTGACGTGACGCTTATATGGCAATTAGATCCGCAAAAAATAATAAAATATGTAGGACACACATGTCAGTTGCACACACAAATAATAAAAAATGGTGGGCCCATGTGGACCCGCACGTCATCCTCACTGCCCTCTTCTCTCTATCCCCTCTCTCCTTCTTCTCTCTCTCTAGCCGCCGGAGTGGGTGGGCGGCGGTCGGAGCAGGCGACAACGGGGCGAAGTGGTGGCAGAGCAGAGGGGTGAAGCGGGGTGGCCAGAGTGGGTGACGGGCAAGGCGGGGCGGCAACGGACGGAGCAAAGGGGCGGAGTGGTGCAGAACAAAGGGCGAAGGGGTGGTGGCGGACGGAGCAAAGGGGCGGAGTGGTGCAGAGCAGAGGGCGCGGAGCGGCGGCGGCCGGAGCAGGCCGGCGGAGCATAACAGACCGTCGTTGTCAACCGTTGTCGCACCCGCCACATCTATCGCACTCGCCGGCGACCGCTCGAGCAGGCCGGAGGGGCGGAGCGGCGGCAAGCCGCCGACGGAGTAGAGGTGCGGAGTGGGGGCGAGCCGATGTCATCGCGGCTGTCGACCTTACCGGGCTGGGAGAGGAGCGGCGGAGCCGGGCAGGAGAGGAGACACGAGCGGAGGATAAGAGGATTCGATGGCGACGATGACGTCAAAGCCGCTGTGCGCGTAGGAGGCGCTCGTGCTGCTCAACCGTGCGGCCGAGTAGAGCTACGCCGCTCTGGCTGTCAGCCGCTCTATCCCGCTCCAGCCGCCGCTCACTCCGCCAGAGAGAAAGAGGAGGGGGAAGAGAGAATAGAGAGAAGGGGTAGTGAGGATGACATGTGGGTCCACATGGGCCCACCATTTTTTATTATTTGTGTGTGCAACTGACATGTGGGTCCTTGTGTTACCACAACTTTGTGGGGCCAACTTTAGGTAAATGAACCTGTATTATGTGCGTAAATGGATACAATAACTTTTAAATCGTTTTTTTTTTCCGATACAGAGATTTGCTTAGCACGTGTGAACTGGCTAAAACAATCCACACAATCAAAATCACAAAATGGTCTGATGTGGGTGCCTCGTTGGCTTCTATTCTAGCACGGTTCAGCCACGGTTGGCACAATTTCATAATTGCAGGTTTTCGCCTCTTCGACTATCTGGTGCCAGACGACGTCGGGAGTCTGAAGTCTGATAGGATACACATGGGTTTTTTCCGTAAACAAATCAAACCGTGATCTAATTGTGCTAGTATATGAAAGCACACAGCCTTTGTATCGAACGGAGCAATTTACAAGTTATTGTATCTATTTACACTCACCATCCAAGTTTACATACCATAAGTGCTATTTACAAAATGATATTCTTTTAAAATTTTACGAAACTGTTCTGTTTTCATAATAAAAATATATTTACTAGTGTGTTGGTCGATAAATACCCACTGTATGCAAGATATCAGACATGACAATACTGAAGCTGTAAAGTTAAAAGCTCATCACTATGAAAGGGAACATCACAATGTTACATGATTCTAGGCATCCTTTGGTCACAACAAAGAGAACTTCCCTTCATCTATGTAAGCTACAACATGAAGCACAGCTTCTTCCACTAGGTGTATACATGAATAGACAGCACTCTTGTAAAAAGATATTGCAGACTTTTGACATCTTAAAAAACAAAATAGCTTCCATCATTTCATTTATTTTGTCCAACTTTATATATATTAGAAACCATATAATTCACATGATAAAGAACTACATACAAAACCATACACGGGTATTTCTCAATTTGTACCATTAGAAGTTCTCCTTGTGGAAATCAAATCTTGTGTTTGTCTTGTGGGTGAAATCTGCTGACAACTGCCTTAGTTGGGGAACCAGCACAGGCTCACCACAGTAGAACACACCTGAAGAAATATACAGGGTTAATATGCAATGGATCATGGACATTCCTACTACTGGATTTGAAAGGACAGGAAGAAGAACATACCGACGCGCTGGTTCTCATGGCTGACCGCAACCTTCTTGAAGACGCTTCGCCAATTAGGTCGTGCGAAATGGGTCTTCACACTAGTTCCCGACAAGATATCGACGCCCTTCTTCGCATGCTGAAGTTCTTGGAGCATGACAATGAGAGCAGAACGAGCATCGCCTTCCTGGTACACGCTTGAGCAGTGGTTATGGAGCTCAATGACTCCATCCTTGTCCTTCTCAGACACCTCGTTCATGACGCCTCTGAACCACTCAAACGAGCCCTCCTCTCTCGTCACCCAGTAGAAGTAGGCTCTCTTCGTCATGAAAGGTTTCTTCTTCGCCTTGCTGCTGCTCTCCGGCTCCGTGGTTCCAACTGATCCCTCACCTTGAATGTGGTTAAGCACGTCCTTCACAATGCTAATCAAAGGGGTGGCTCCGATGCCCAGCCCGATGAGAAGTAGCACATCGTATTCACGGTAATCTTGTGCCGGTGCACCATACGGTCCATCGACCAAAAGTTTTGGGAATCTAGTGCATGTAAAGCAGAATTATCGTTAGACGGAAGATTTTTCTTTAGATAACGGAAAGTCCTACCATGAGATGAAGCAAGATATATAATGCATTTCTGCTTTTCGCAAACAAATCAAATGAAGTCCTTTGCACCTTGCTTTTTCGTCCGTTATTCCCTTGGAAAGGTCAGCTCTAAGTAGTCCACTTTCTCCCTCAGTGGGGGGTCGGCATGCCTGGTTCAAAGATTTTGTTATCATACTTGTTGTCGATTGAATCCATCAAGCAGATAAATTGGATATGACAAATGAAAGACAATGCAATTCAGGTGCTTACAAAGTTCGTAAGTCATGTTTCTTAGGAGTTTATCTATAGAACAAAGCAAAAAAAATAAAAGGCAGTTGGTTCAATTACCTCAGAGAAAACAGTTCTAAGCCGTGAAGTCCAATCACCCCTTGTGCGAATATGAACACTAAGATAATCATCTCCAGGTGCTGATGTTATGGAAAATGGATGCCTGTAACAGACAAAGTATTGCTCTTTTAGTTATCTGCGGACTTTATTTCAAAATAATACATTTTCTTTCCATAAAATGTGTAAGACCAGCACCATTCATATGGAGACACAGCAGTGCATTTTATGAAGATGTACTGCCCACTACGGTATCTGAAACCAGGTGGCTTCGACATATAAAGAGCCAATACATTCCCGGGATACACTGCAACCTGTTGAAAGCAGAGATGTTAAACCCAAAAAAAAAAGACGGATTCAGAGCTTCCAGACATTCCAAGGCTAGTTTCAGTTCAAACCCTTTAAATAAAATACAACATAAAAAAAGGAAAGATGTGGATGGCGATGGATAGTAGTAATATGTAAGTTGAGGAAAGAGATTTGATTGATGGTACCTTCTGAATCCCAACTGCATCATGGCTCCTAAACAACCGAAGAATACGCTCACTTACATACAGGACAACAGGAACAGCGAGGTACATCCATGTCTGAAAATGATAAAAATGAACCATAAGTATCAGTTATGATCTCCTCACAAAGAAGGTACCAACTATGATCATTGGGATTTCTTGTGTGTTCAGGGTATAGACTTTTACCGTCTTCTTGTACCATTTCCTGCTTAGATACAAGCACGTTCCATGGACAAAGAGCAAAGTGTACACAATGACAAACAGGTGGTGGGTAAACCAGAAGGCATTGAAGCCAGTCATTTTTTTGAGGGGATTGGAGTCCTTGAGCTTGTTACGTCGGAACCATGGTTGGGCTAATGTAAATGCTATTGCCATGAGCACCACCATGACCACACCTGTCCAGCCTTCAGTTCCCTTTACAAACCACCAGTAATTTGGTGGCCTCTTCTCCCCAAAGAAGGGCTTCATTAGTTCATATTGTGCATCACTCGCATGGAGCAGCCGGGGAAAATCACATGTCAGATGAGCACCTGCATGCAAAGCAACACCAACTGCAACACCTGCGGCTATGACCTGCACAGTAGTAAATCATAGATTATGTAAAGTCGATATTAGTCTCACAACTCATATTTTTTTGCCTAGTTCTCAACTATATGGCCGGACACATTTTTTGATGTAGAGGATATGCTAATTTCCATTATTGAAAAAATGTACCAGATGAACAGGTTTAATGTGTTACTCATATGTTACTAAATAAACGACTTTAGAATTTAAAGGGTCCTCTAAAAGTCAAGATCTTTCTTTGGTGCTTACGCCGTGGTGTAGACGTGTAGTACTAACAAAGGATAATCTTGCCAAGTGTAATTAGCAAGGTAGCAAGATATGCTGCTTTTGTCATAAAGAAGAGATGATTAAACATTTACTCTTCCAATGTCGTCTTGCTCATTCTATTTGGTCTTTAATCCAAATAGTTTCAAACCTATGTCTGCCCCCATAGTGTTTCACATATGTTTGCGAGTTTGCTTTCGTGTTTATCTAAATATTTGAGACCTTTAGTCCTATTAGGAGCGGCTGCTATATGCTGGTCATTGTGGCTAGGCAGTAATGATGTGGTTTTTGATAACATAAAGATTGACTCTCCTTTCCAGGTTATCTCTTTGATTACTCATTGGCTCCGTTCTTGGGATATTCTTCGGAAGTCGGGTCTGCATAATTTTATTGCTGTGGCATGTCACAATTGGAGCAGGTAGCGAGGGGGTTTTTTTACTTAGGAGCGTGGGTGGCGATCTAGTCTATGGATTGATGGCCCTTAATCCCTCCTATCTTTTGTTTAGTTTTTTCTTTAAAAAAAATTCTAGTGTTGGTGTGTTTTGACTGTGTGCATCTTAGTTATGCAGAGGTCGAGAGTGTTCTTAGTACAGTTCTATCATCTTGATGTCATTGGCTGAGTTCAATAAAGCTTCCATTATCTTAAAAAAATATTGACTTTACTTGATTATGGAAAGCACTACGCAAAATGGACTGGATGATATTCACAACACGGTAAAATCCATCAGTTCAATATTGATTGAATCAACATAATTTTACCTTATGAAAGTTTATATTGTCGTTGAAGGGTACAACAGCTCCAACCTGTGTCTTTGACCGAATCCATGTGATTGTATTTCTGCAGACAGGAAGTAGGACCAAAGCCATGTTGAATTTGAGGGTCTCTGCAGCACCCTTTGCAGTGGTCACACAATAACCCATGATGCCGAATACGGCTCGATTACGGTACTGAATGAACTTCCAAATGAAAAGGGCAATGCAGATTGAGATCCACAGAGTCATAACCCAACTGCGCTTCCAATTCTCTTCAAGGAAGTACATGAACTGCTGCCAGTAATGACGAACTGGGCTCATTTCTTTGTTAGACGCAAGCTTCATGCTAAGAGCTTTGCTAAGTTTGGAGCTGTGCGTCGTTGTTGATCTTGCAGCAGCTTCAGATGGTGACTGAAGCAATAGTGCTTCCAAGTCCTCCATCTGTCAAAATTATTAATGCGGTTAGGTCATAGGTTGTGCACAATATTACTTTGATGCTTGGAATTGGACAAACCTCGATGTATCCCAAGTTTGTAGGGTCAAGCTCTTCCATAATGAGTGCTGTGTAC